GGGGCAATCAGTATCTAGAAACAACATTCCAGTGCAGATCATTTTCTGCCAGCCAGTCAGAAAATTATTTCAGCTCAATTATCCAGTTATTCCAATAAATGCCTGTTGAAATCAGTGACTATTTGTATTACTCTTTTTCAAATCCCAAACACTTAGTCCTACATTTCCAATTAATAACCTGGAGTTTTAATATAAAGCATGGCTCAGACCTGTGGAGAGGAACAGGGTTTCTGCAGGTTTCTACAACTCAAATTTAAGACTTTTCAAGGGCATTATGATTGAAATTCTAGCCCTGTATCACAACACGAATTTACAGAAAAAGATTTTACATTTTGTAATGCTCTCTATAGTCTTAACCTCCATAGTGCCAAGTTTTATTTTTGCACAGAAACTAAAAAACTATTTAGGACCTACTGTCCATGTTTTCTTTTCCTTAGTGACTTCTCGGTAAAGTTAATAAAATAACAAAAGGTCTGTTTCTGGCATGCCACTAGTACCATACATCATATGCAAATCCTATAGAACCTACATGAACTGAAAGAATCTAATACCTCAGCCCCACACATGTCCTTCTTGTCAACTTTCTGCTACTAATAATTAAGAATGCACAATAGAAAATGACCTAATTAACACACATCCTTAGAAAAAAATGCCTATAAGCAATTTGCTTCACTTAATTTAACCTGGAGGGCAACGCAGGGTGTGTCCTGAATCTGAAGTGACACTTCCTCCCCATCCATGGTGACCTTTCTAGAGTAGAGCGCTCCTGCGGAGACAAAGAGATCCAGGTGGAAGGGTGAATGTGAAGGGATGAGAGGATCAATCGTGGCAGGGGCTCGCTGGTGGCAAAGGCAGTCAGATGAATGAAGGGGAAAAAACCTCACCTGTGTTTGCTTCATAATCTCCAATGAATCTCTTAGTCAGAAACCTGACAATCAGAGCTGAAAGTGAAACAGAATTTGTCAATCAGTGACGTAAAGATGAGGAAGAAGAGCACTGAAAAACACAAGTATTTTTGGCCTAGTTTCTAAGGCAAATATCTTAGTGCTCTTGAAATGAGCCAAAACTAACTCACAAGCAAGAAATAGAGGATACTTTTAAGTAAATAATCCCTTAACATTGCCAAAAATGTACTAATCCATTGTTTCACTTTCAAATGCATGCAAAGTGAAAAAATATCTGTTAACTACATTTTCATCAATATCAGGGAATTATATACTTAAAGCAAGCTTTTGTATCTTGTTAAAAGTTACTTGTAAGCTGGTTTTGTCTAATTTCAAGAGCACTAAGATATTTGCACTAGAAACTAGACCAAAAATACTTGGTAAGATTGTTGGTCTAGTTGGTAAGTGTGTCACTTTTCATTGAAGTGACACACTGGATAACATCTAGAGACACTGGTGGGTCATTGCATCTCTCTGACTTCAATGTATTGTATTGACATGCTGTGTGAAAGTGGTAAAAATAAAAATAAAAATAAAATAAAAAGCACAATGATGACCAGAGTTTTTCTTGCTACAACACACAGTGAGCAGGATGGTAAATAAATGAGGTAAAAGAAAATCTCCAAAACTAGAGTTACTACAATGTGAATTCATCTTTTTTTTTTTTTACCCTTTTTAAACAGTGGTGTCATTGAATGTGGTTTGATAGACTGTGATCTGACAGAAGATGGTGTTACACTGTATGAATGCAGAATGGGAGTACAACAGTAACAACTCATGGATTATTAGCCGAGGTAATACATTATGACATGTGATGCTCTTCTTTTCCAGATAACTGAGTTTGATGATTCTTCCAGATTTGCTACAGTGAGTACATTCCTGCATCAATGGACACGCAGTGTAGATTACTCTCTGTTGTTTTCCCAGCTGAGGCCTTTAGTTCATCTAGTGTAAGAAAATGGTTTAGCTTTCTAACTCCAGATAAAATCTGGACAAAATCCACAAAATCCAATCAAATGTTTGTCTGGGACCTTTACCATTTTGGTCATTTGTGTCACGTGTGAGCAATTGTCACCATGCAAATCTGTCCATCTTACTAATAAGGCAAACAATACAAAGTTATAACACTGGGAATAGATTAGTCAATTATTTCACTCCAAACATTCATTTATAATGTACAGCTTTAATCTATTCCACATGTGGCAGATAACTAAAATGACAGCACCCTAAACGTATTACTCATTGAAGTCTTTGAAATTACTTTACAATTTTGCACTACTCTGTGTTCATCTGCAGCACAAAACCCTAACCAAATATATTAAAGTGTACAGTTGTGACTTGAGAGTGCTAGACAAAAGTTTAAATATTTCGGTGATAACATTTACCTTGTGGAATTTGTATCTGCATGATAAATGAGTTTCCTCATAAAGTGCAAAAACAGTATAATTTCTAAATTTGCCAATGTTTATTTCTAACCACTATATCTGTCTGTGAAGAAATCTGCCCTCTAACAGAAGGCAGATTGTTAAAAGTCAAGACTTTTAACATCAGCGATATTAATTAAATTCAAATTTTGCTTGATTTTTCTTTTTTCATTTTCAGGAAATCAGTGCTGCTTACCGCCCTCTGTCGTCGAACAATGGTGGCGCTTTATTTATTTCTCTGCCACCTAAAAACTTCAAAACCAATTGTTTCTTTTAAGGTGAGCTGAGCCACAATAAGGTTTTTGGTCATAAAAAAACAGGTTGCCTCCATTTATCGCTTGAATACAATGCAACTAATCCGAAATGAAAACTTTCCCGGATACACGAGAAGTAACTGCGTCCCACCGCCATACCGGTTTTCCCGACGTTACTGGCGCCCAGCACCACGATCTTCACCGTCTTGTTGGGGACGCAGTCCAGCAGGGGATACTCCGGGATGGGGACCAGCAGAAAGTTGCCAGACCCGCTGCTGTTCATACTTCCCGGGGCAGAATCGCCAGACAGCCGCATTTAGCTCCCCTCTGCACCCCCACAACTGCTCCGAGCTTTATGGGGGGGGGAAAGTCACAGCAAAGAAATCCCCCCGTGTTTGTATGCCTACGGTCAATCCAGATTTGAACTAAAGAAAGGGGGAAAAAATCCCTCGTTTTCCACAGAAAGCGGCAGCTCGAAACTGATCGGCAAAATTTGGTTTTGCCCTAATAATCCCAGTTATTATCCAAGGGTGCCACAGTTTCCTCCAAGTCTTTTTCTCCTGGGGTAAAAACTGACTTTTAGCTCCACAATGGAGGCATCATTAAACGCGTTGCTGATCCATTTTTACGCTTTGGCAGCTAAAAGGAAAACGATCCGGTTCCCGGAGGTTCCAGATGCCTCTGGCTGTGGATACAGAGCAGAGGGAGTGATGAGAGGGAGGGATGTAGACTTTGATCCGTCCCCTCACATATTCCCGGGGGACCAGTGAGAATTCGGCCCAACAGCTCAGCCTGAGCAGCCTAATTAAGCATTGAATTAAGAGGGATGAAGAAAAGGTTCAAACAAAGACGTGGATTGGGATTTTAAACCATCACTCTTTAACTTCATCACTTTTCCCCCCCTCTATCTTGATACTTCTGTATGGAAGTCCGTCAATGTCAATTGTAAAGGAGAGGGAAAAAAAAGAACTTAGATTTTAACACACAACGACAAACTACATCTTATGTTTTTTAAAAAAAAAATAATAATAATAATTATGTAAATGACATAATATTTCATTTTCTTTATTTAAGAGGATGCTTGTTCGGATGTAAGCCTTGCCGTGTGTATTTTAGAGAAATAATACTTCATTTCGGAACTATAAAACATTATATGTGTGCTTAATTGCATTATTTTGTCTACTAAAGTGAAAACAAATTGTGAGACGGTAGAAAAACAAACTCAAATGCTGCCCATCAATCCAGCGCCCTGCAAAGAACCGAACCAACACTTATGAACAAGTCAGTAGCTCTTCAGTGACACTCCCTCACAACCTCTGGGAGTGGATGGCAGGAAACTCTGAACTACAAGAGAAAAAAACAGCAACTAAAGTGGGAACTTTGTGCTTGTGTTTTCAGAATAAAACAGCAAAGATCATCCTGGTTTTGACACTGTTTGTTGCATGAAGCAAAAAAAAATATATATATATATACATATATATATAGTTTTGTTCATTTAGAGATGTGCAGTTTTTGCAATGATTTTAAAACAGACAATTAAATTGGCGGGCCAAAGGTGCTGTCACCACATGAGCAGCCTATAACAGTGTGTCATTATTTTGGGCACAACATCTCACAATTTGGCAGCATTATTGTAATATTCTACATATAAAGGTCACTATGGTGGAGAATGCTTTTAAAAAACAAAAGCTTGCAAAAATATAAAAGACTGATGATCAGATATCAGTTTTCAGCTTTATTGTGCAAGGAGATGAACATTTCAATCTGTCTTCATCAGAAGAACAAGTGAACACAATAAAAAGGCAATTGATTCTTTGCCCTGAGATGAGATGCTGTTGCCAAATGTCACCATTTGGCAAGTGTGATAATAAATGGCGTCACAATGTAAATAAATATCAACAATACATTTGGCAACCGCATGTCACTATTTGGCAATGGTGTCTCAATAATCAGCAACAGCACCACAATGTTCTGGAACAAGACCAAAATAATTGACAATAACATCACTGCATTACAGTTCAACAAAAGCATCAAATTATCAACAATATGTTTGGCAACAGTGTGTCACTTGTTTAGCAACAACGTTTCACCACTTGGCAACAACTTCTCCGTATTTGGGTTTCAGATCTCTATTATGTACGACTTGGCCTATCTCGCGTCAGGGGGCGCTGTGGAGCAATTTGGCCACGCCCACTTAATTCCATTAAAATTATTTGATTTCAGACAATTTTCTTTAAATTTTGATGGATTTTGGAATGTATTATCCCCCCGCACCACTCTCCCAAAATAAAAAATAATAAAAAAAGTGCCTTTTTGTTTTGTAAATTATTCTGAAAGGTCATACCGGAAGCTGTCGCTGTCATTCCCTCCTGCTTTACTGTGACAGTACCGATAGGGGCAGCAGGCAGACTCGACTCGCCCTCCCGGAACTCTGCAGCCGCAGCTGGTCTGATTATTTTAACATCGGGGTTCGGTCCAACATGGCGGCGCACGGATGGAAATACTGATGACAGTCCGAAAGATCGCCTCGATTTGTACGATGGTAAGGAGGGCAGAGCGGCTGGTTGGGCCGGTACCGTTCGCTGCCCGGTCCGCTGAATCCTGCCTGATCTCACGCTTACGGTTAGCTGTCCTGCTGCTGCTGCTAGCCTGTCTGTTAGCCTCACGGAACAACATGATAAAAACACACAGCGTTCCCAGAAAGTTGCTTGGGCAGGGGCAGCTTTCCGGGCCCGAACACGCGGCTGTTTGGAGAGTTAACGGGACCGTGTTGTGCTCACACCGGCTGTGTATGTGACAGTTAGTGAGCAGCTTCGTCTTGGTTGTGGTTAGTTGGACTGACTTAACGGTCGGGAAACGGCTAGCTTAGCCAGCTAGCCGTTTGGACTATTTTGGGCTAAAGTTGCTGTCAGATATATATGTATATGTATATATATAAAAATGAAACTTACAGTTCCTGCTTAGGACTGTATTTCCCCCAAATAGCAGAAATACAACAGAAATCAGCTGTAGAGGATGTGAGCACCTCAAGGCAGCTGATGCTGCTCTGAGCTTAAGAGGGTGAAATTTAAAGTAAATGTCACAGAATAAAACCTGAACGTCTCAGCAAAACCCCTAACAGTAAAAAAAAAGAAAGAAAAAAGAAAAAGAGAGAGCAACAGGAAGCTTTATTCGGTGAAAATAAAAAGGAAACAATTGTTAAGTTTTCTGTGGAGTAGTCAGGATGGCAGGCAACGCATTCCTTAAAGACACGCACATTCGCCACAGAATCATGTTTATTAAATCAAAAGCTCCCATTAAAACATCCTGGAAACGGGTCCAATGGAAAAACACAACATTTCCGTGCTTCGATGCTTACCTGTTGCTGCACACTGCCTGTGAGGTGGCTGAAAGACGATCTGCGACATTTTTTTGTTGTTGTTGCCAAACCTACAAAATGAACATATTGAATTGTTTGGGAGTACTCTCTCTTGTATGCACACTCCTGGTGTGATATATCTGGATATGCCGACCCTCATTTAATGATCTCGTGGAATAACACTGAAAATGTATAACTTGATTAATCATTTCTATTTAAAACAAAAAGCCAACTATTATGCGTACTGATATCAAAACAATACAACATGATTTATGCTATGGTAATGTTATCTACCCCATTGTTTTGGTTTGGACACAGTAGCCGTTTCAAGTCCTTATGAGGCATGAATTTGCGTTATAAAGCTATAACACTCTGATATTAGCAGGTTAAATAGCTAATTAGCAGCTTTCTTGTGAATGATTTTGTCACTTTTGAGTCTATTTGTACTCGTGTTTTTAAATCGCCCCTCCAGGACAAATACATTACACTGAATTAGTCAGGCTCTCTGCTTAAGCCTGCAGATGCTTGTTTTTTTTATCACAAACTGCGTCATTTGTCCTTCTTTTAAGCGGTCGGGGGAAAAAAAGTATTATCTGCTGAACTCATGCTGTTTGTAAACCTACAAGTGCTCAGCTAAAGTGTGGGAGATGTGTTAAGCTGCTGACTGCAGGCTGGCTATTTAAACAGATCGCCTGACTAACTTCCCAAAATGAGCTTTGGCGTGTTTGTGTTCCTCTATCTAGAACAGAACCGCGAGAACGGGTCTAATATCGAGCTCAAAGAAGAGTTTGGTTTAGTGGGTGAGGTTTGTGATATTGGAATGCTTATATCTATATCTATTGGCTGGCGAAACAGAGGAAGTGTAGCTGGCTTAACATTTTTTTTTGTTTGCTTCATGTAGGGAATGCAGAATGCTGCTGCTGTAGATTGAAGGTTTTCATGATATTTTTGAATAAAAATCCCTCACCTTGTTTGTTCTTTCATTGGAAACAGAACGTCAACATTTGTCCCTAATGCTGCTAAAATGAAAGGGAAAATTGATTACTTCAAGTTCTAAAAATACATATATTTATTTATTTATGATACATAGAGTTAAGAAAGAATAGAAAATATAAAAAAAAACCTTCAAATTTAGTAGTGGTTTTGAAGCTTTCTTTGAAGCTGGGTTTTTCTTTGCTTTAAGTGAGAGCAAAGCCTTTTTCAGCCACCTGTCCAGCAGTGTGCAGGAACAGCTCAGGGTAGGGAGCAGTTATTTATAAGTCCAAGGCAGCTTGAAATTTACATCTACTTTTGATTTGAAGAAAGAAAAAAAAAAAGAAAACTCTCACCATGAGAACCATCCAGCGGTCGAGTGTTTTGACTCTTTCTCACGCCTGCGATGGCTTGAAACTCGGCTGAACAACTTGTGGTAACATATTAATAGAGAAAAGATGTTCACTTTTACGCAACCAGAGTTTAAGTCAAGACTTTAAAGAACACTTCCGTTTAATGCATTCGTCTTATGAATAATTCTTCTACTCACTTTCATTTCTAACACTCGGCTCCAAGCTGTCATTTTAACCCGGCAGTGACAGAGTTAATAATTAATGTCTTTGTGAGTTTTCAGCTCCTTTGTTTTTATGCCTCTCTAACATCAGAGAGTTAGTTCGCTGTGTCTTGTTGTTTACAACCTCTTGGCTGTTCCGAGGCGGTGTTTGTTGGATAAATAACCTCAGCCCAGACAGGAACCCGATGTTGGCCTCTCGTTGACTTTACATGGGCTGCAATGTGGCGCTGTGCTGAACCGCTGCAGTTTATGAAACGACCCCCCCCTGAGGGGAGAAGCTGCATCATCATCACTACTGCTGTCATCATTGTCCTTTGTTTCTGTCTCTGCTCCCACCAAAATATGCCTGTAAGAGCGTTTTGTAAAGCATTTAGTTTTCTGTTTTTGCTCTATATTGTAAGGTATATCTGAACCATCATGCATCAAGGCCAAGCTAGGTTAATTAACTACATTAACATTCACAGGTTGAACTAAAAATGCCTTTTCTCTCCCTCTACTTCAGATTGTCGCCTCTAATTTTTCTTTACTCCTGAAAGTCGCGCAGCGCATGGTGACCAGCTTCCAGTAGCTAACATCCCTATCTTTTTTTAAACAAATTATATACATTTTCACGTTCCATACTGTTTAAATTGATTCCCAACTCTGATTATGGTTGGTATAAGTGCACCGATGTGAGTTATGTATATGTTTAGCTGTATTTCAAATGCTCATATCACCGTATAGTTACGCAGTTTGCCGGTGATGTGGACCTACAACATTTGTGTTGGTAGGTTGTGGTTTTTTACTTCCTCCTGGTGTTAACTGATGGGGTTTCACTGGGATGACTGTCTCCCTTAGATGATCTCACAGTGCTGAAGAAAACATCTGTATTAGGACTTGAAAGTGCTTTCAGACACACCAGATTGTTTTCAGTGTGGGCAGGCATTTATCGTATCATGTATTGTGATAAATTTGTTGTTCGATGTCACAATAAATTCCAATTAACATTGCTTGAAATTGCCCAAAACTCCCCGTATTGTCAGGATTGATAGATTTGCTGTTTTTTTTTTCAATGAGTGTCAATAAATCTGAAAATGTTAGTAAATCCAGTTTCTATGAGCAGTTTGGCGATATAAATAACAGTTTTTAGCGCATTCCAAATGTTTTTCAAGGACAGCTTTTGATTTCTGTGTCATCTACTTTTAAAGTATCATGATAAAACTTTAGTACCATATCGCCACTCCTAGTTTTTAAAAAATATTTTGGCTGTAAATGATTGTTCAAGACGTTTTTATGATTTTAGCACTACGGTTGTACAATATATCGGGATTAACTTCGGTATTGACTGATTTTAGTAATTTTTCCATGTATTGAGTTAGTAAAACTAAGCTGATATTAACAATCAATGTTTAAAGTCATTTAGCTGTTACTTATGTTTCTGGTCATGTGTTTGTTTAACTGAAGAAGTTAAGCAGGTGTCCAGTGGTCGACTGAAATTTATATAATACCAGTTATAACGGCGGTTTTCGTATCGGACATCAACATAGACCCGAGTTATTGGGCCGTTGTTTCAAAGAAGTCAACCAAATTGAAAAACGGACCATGACGTGTTGTTTTGTAGTTTGCAAACCGTCTAAATGGAGTTTTATTAGCTGTTTTAAAAAGGTGCTGATTCCAGCAGGGCAGAAAGACAACAGAAACAAATAAACGTCTCGGAAACTGTAAGGAATGGAAAATCTTATCCAGTCTGTGGTGACTCATTTTTTTTCTTGCTGTGATAAGAACGTTAAAGTAAAACATTAATTGTGCTGTTTTCTCCTCCTGACTTCTTCAGGGCGCCAATGCCTCTGCCTTGGAAAAGGAGATTGGACCGGAACAGTTTCCTGTTAATGAACACTACTTTGGATTGGTCAATGTAAGTGTATCTAAGTACAGTCCACTATTAGCTAATGATCTGCCTGCTCTGATCTGGGTTTTTTTTTTTTTTTTTTTTTTTTTTTTTTCATAATTCGGACTTTAAATCAAAGCAAACCTGGACGGTTACAGTTCATTTTTCTTAAAACATACGCACACTAAAGAATCACATCCAACTCCCCGTTCTTTTGCCTCTCATCTAGTTCGGCAACACCTGCTACTGCAACTCGGTGCTGCAGGCTCTGTATTTCTGCCGACCCTTCAGGGAGAAGGTGCTGGCGTACAAGGTGAGTGTCGAATACAGAATTCGCACACCGGTGGCCACATGGGTTTGATTCAGACGCTTACCTCACAGCTGTCAGCAGGCAGCCAAAAATCACTGACGTCAGGAGGTTTTATGACGAGTTTCTGGAAACGGGGCGCCAAATAGTGGTCAAAATAACAACAGCAGATACAGAAAATGTGCAGCTGCTAAGCAGAAAGATGTACTTGGACGAGACACATTTGTTCCTATTTCAGCTATTTGAGGGAAAATGCTTGAGGAATGAAGCACTTTCCCAGTCAAAATAACAGTTTATGTGTTAGATTTTTTAATAGCAGCATTATTTTGTAAAACTGACTTTTTTTTAGCTTTACGTCATGTTATAATGTTATTCATCAAAAATACACCTGGAGTGTGTCATCGATTCTTTCATGCATGTTTGAGAAAATCCTTTATCTCCATGGCAACCTTTGTAAAAGGGCCTGAATGGACCTAGCCCTTCCCCAACTCCTTCAGACTAGCCAGCAGCAGATAGCAAACACCTGGTGGAGCCCTGCATCTGCTAAGCTCATTATACCATCTACTTCTCAGTGCAACGCTAGTATAAATATTGTTAAAGGGTTAATAGAGGAGCGATGTTGTGTTGACTTCCTGAAGCCGGAGTTTTATAAAGAGTGGGAGTTTCTAAAAGAGACAGAGGCCCAATTTCAAGACATTAAATTACAAACCCAAAGTCCTGGAATTTGAGTTCATCTGAAGGTAACATAGTTACTTTATCACACCAAAACATGAAACATACATAATAATGTCCCTTTAAATTATAAATGAATGTGAAATGCTTTCTAGATACTTATGTATTTCTCTGATGCTAGTATGAAAACATTTGCTTACTGACAGGAAATTAAAGAAGGTAGAAATGAAACGATTGGGTTCAAAACTGACCAAGACGTTCAAAGGTGCAACTTACTTCCAAACCAGATGATTGTGGACCTACAGCCCACGTTAAAGCACGTATCAGTTTGTTTTTAAAGACATAATTGGAGGTTAAGGAAGCCTTTGTGATCCGTGCCGTTGATCTCAGGTGCAGCCTCGGAGGAAGGAGTCCCTCCTTACCTGCCTGGCCGACCTTTTCAACAGCATCGCCACTCAGAAGAAAAAAGTCGGAGTCATCCCTCCCAAGAAATTCATCTCTCGGCTAAGGAAGGAAAACGGTAGGCGTCGACGGGGGGGTGAGGAGGGAGGCTTGTGTCAAGATGCAGAATAATCTCGTAGAATATTCATGGAACGGCTTTGGAAGAATGTGCAGCTGCCGCTGATGTCAGAGCGCGAGGCGTCCTATAATCTCATTGGGAAGCATTTAGCACCAAGTCTTCAGAACAAAGACATTGAGTCATTGAAACAAACTTCCTTTCATGGTGGAGCAGCGCAGCTGGGAGTACGGATGCAGGCAGCAGCCTTGGAAAAGGGGAAGAAGATGGGGACGATGGATATCAGCTGAGAAGTTAATCACGCAGCTGAGGAAGTCATATTGTTGGTGAAATCACAGAGCAGGAAGCAAATCAAAACAATGGCACACAGATGTCACTTGTCTCTGAAATTTTACTTTGGTTTAAAGGTTTCTTTTTCCCTACAAAACTAGACATGCATCTTGAACTTGTCCAACACTTTGTCCACATTGCAAAAACAAACTTCAATGGAGATAATTGGGATTTTATGTGAAGTGGAAGAAAATAAAAAAATACTTGGGGATTATCTGTGACAAGACCGCCACAAAGTAGTGCATAATTGCAAGGTGGAAAACAACAGGACTTACACGGGTTTTGAAAAATGTTTGCAAATAAAAATCAGAGGAGTTTGGCATGTATTTGTAATCTGGTCTAGTAGAACCAGATTTCACAGGAATCACATCTGCATGTTGTTTTGGTTTGTGGCGACCAACGTTGTATAGCTAGAGACTGAAGTAGTTCAAAGCTCAGTGAGTGACTGGCTCAATGGGAAGAGTAGTGAAGCACCCCAAACTACCAAATGATCAATTCTAGCACAAGAATATCTTTTATCTAAACCACTATGTCTGAAATAGTGGGTCAGTAAAGCAAATATGACGGTGTGTTGTGACCAAGCTCGTAGTTATAGTATTAGAGGAATAAAGATGAAATATTGGTGGAAGAAAGTCGTAAAACTATGAGTAAAACATTGTTTATTGAAAAAAGGGTTCGATAGAGCTATCGCACCTCATAAAGTGGTTCGTTCTTTGAAATGGACACTGGTTTAAACAATCGATTCAGTCCTGCGAATGATAATAATTTGACGCTATGTTAAAATCTTATTTCTTTGTATAATCAGTACCAACCATAATTTCACAAGAAGAAGAAGTATTATTTTTGGCTCTGCTGGCCTTTATTTGAAAGTGAAATGACAGGACAGTAGCTCGTTAGAGAGGGGCAAAGGTCAGCAGGATGAGACTCGAACTTGTCATGGCCGCGTGGAGGACTGAGGCCTACGTACATGTGTCGCCGCCGCGTCCAGCATTCCTCATTTTAACGTAGTTTGGCGTACAGTTCTCATAGAATTACAATTTAAAACCTTAGTCTGGCTCTTATAATCCGACGTAAGAAGGTAACTGTAGCTCGCAGAAAAAGACAAGGAAAAATAATCAAAGCTTGTTTAGTATGACACTGTTCTGCACTGTTCATGTCTTCTGACAAGCTGAAATATTAGGAATATTGTTGCACCAAAAGTGTTTAAAAAGCTTTGTACCTTTTGAAAAAAGAACAAACTGAAGAAGCTAAGTAGCCCATGCATTACAGTTTTAAAAGGTTTTACATCCTAGTGACTCAGTTGCTCTTTTTCTGTCGAGAACCACGCAGACTGAGCAGTCTTGATTAAACGTTACTTATTGAGTTAAAAAACCGAATTGTTCCCAGACTTACAGCATTTAGTAAGTTGTATAACTTCAGTTGCATGAGAAACGTTGATCTGAACCATTCCACCACAGAGCAGCTCCGGCTGTTTAAGATCAGTGTCTTGCTGGAAGGTGAACATAAATTTCCCCTGTATTTAGCTCCATCTGTTCCCATGTCAACTGTAGCCGGGCTTCCTGTCGACCGGCCCGGTCACTTGCATAAATTTGAGGTTGTAACACAATCAAATATTTATCTTTCTCCTTGACGTGTCCGCATCTCCCCTCCCCAGAGTTGTTTGACAACTACATGCAGCAGGACGCCCACGAGTTCCTCAACTACCTCCTCAACACTATCGCAGACCTCCTCCAGGAGGAGAAGGGCCAGGAGCGACAGCAGAACGGGAAACTGGTGCAGAACGGGAGCGGAGGAGGCGGATGTGGTGACGGGGGCGGGGGCGAAAGCGACGGCGGGAAGGAGACGCAGCAGACGTGGGTCCACGAGATCTTCCAGGGAACGCTGACCAACGAGACGCGCTGCCTCAACTGCGAAGCTGTGAGCTGGGTTTTCACGTCCGCTGCTTCCGTTAGCCAGTCCCTGCGGGAAGTTGCGATCGCAGCCGTTGACACAAGTTCACTCCTCGATTGTTGGCGTGTCATAAGAAATTCAACCGGACGATAAATCGTCCCAGAGCTTATCATGAGACCATTTTAGGCAAAATAATGGAAATGGCATAATAATGCAAAAAAATTTTAACTGTCTGTAAACGCACCCAGAGCACTCACATTAAGCTGCTGTTAAGCCGAGCTGCTGGTCTCTGTCCTGTCCAGCAATTAGCCAGAGCCAAAAACCAAAAAGCTCTGCAGTTTTCTTCCAACTTGAATTGAGTACCTGTGCTGCATGCAGATAATGTTAGCTAAACGTTAACTAGTTCATCCTTGTTAACTTTGTTAACACGAATATTAATGTTGTTGTTTTACATTGCTTTCTCACTAGTTAATACCAGAAATCAACCCAAATCTCTTCAATTTCTGTAAAGAAATTGCTGTGCTCACTGTTTTCTTTCCAAATATTTCAGAGAAATCCTTATTGCCACAATAGAAACACAGAGGAAAACACAGGAAGGTTACATGCAGCAACTTCAGCCTTTTGCAAGACCATGTTGAGGCAAAAACAAAGCAAAACATGTGCAACTTAAAAAAAAAAAAAATCACACCACAAAATCAGCAATTTTAGGCTGCAGCAATCACAAAAAACAAAAACACCCTGGCAACAACCTGTAGGGACTGATCAGCCCCGTCTTGGTTGGTCAGCAATTCACCTGCTGTTGGTTTCTGCAGGTGAGCAGTAAGGATGAGGACTTCCTGGATCTGTCGGTGGACGTGGAGCAGAACACCTCGATCACGCACTGTCTCAGGTTGTCCTGCTTTTTCTTTTCTTTTTTTTTATATTCATCAAACCCAACAAAAAATGTTAGATTTATGGACGAGTTCTCCTTTTTGTGCTCAACAGGGGCTTCAGCAACACAGAGACGTTGTGCAGCGAGTATAAATATTACTGCGAGCAATGTCGCAGCAAACAGGAAGCCCAGAAACGGTAGGTGACGTCTCCTTTTCTATTCATGTCCTTTTCACATTTGTACAGCAGAAAACGCGCAAATAAATCTAGTGGCGTTCTTTTCTGATTTGGTGAAATGCGCTCAAATTTCGTAGAGCAGATAAACCCACAATGATCATCTTGCATCATCCATGTAGCTTTAATGTAATAATGCCAAACACATGTAACAAGACGCTGAAAATAAAAATAAAAATCCCTTTGAGCTCCCACTTAGTTTTTACTGACAGTAAGCAAACTCTGTTGGGTTTTGTTCCATTAGAGATCAGCCCTGAAACCACATCGGACGTCACCAAGGCACCCTGTCAGGGCCTTCCTGTTACATTCTGAGAATCGGTTTTGCGGGCGTATCTCTGGCCAGATGCCTGTTGGACGGCGCTTACCCGCCCCAGACTTCCCTTTGCATTAACAGCGCTGACGCGTTTTTAGCTTTCTGCGGTTGGAAACCATGAGGCGCGTCTTCTCAAGTGTTGCTGCTGTGTGTATTTTTGTACCGGAGAGCCGGCTAAGTGCACCGAGTAACATCCATTAAGGAGGCAAAGGGCTATCAGCAGAGGCTGAACCTTGCATTAACGTGGAGCAGAAAGAACAGCAGAGCTGCGGCTGAACGGGGAGGAAGGAAAAACTGTGAAAGCGTGCTGCGATATTCTGGTTGTTCTGCAAATGTCTTGGTTTTTTCAAATGATTCTCTGAAAGTTTTGGCCTCGCTCTGATTACTCCCAGTTTTTTAAAGTTTCTCTTGAAGTTTTGTTTTTGCAAGCTTTGTTTATTTTGAATCAAAACTTTCTGATCGTCATCATCTGTGAACATGTGCTTTGTAAAAGTATTCATGTTTGTCAAGTTACAAACACAGACTTGAGCCCATTTTATAGGGAGTTTTTGTTACAGACTGACAAGGAGTATCAGGTAAAGAGTAACATGGTTTTTCCTTTTCTTCTTGGTAAAAGGAGAATGCTTCTGTCTAGTCACAGATTCTTGTTTGGGTTTATTGATCATTTTATTATAAGAATACGCTTTGATCTGAACCACTCCATGTGTCTCTGCCTGCATGTTTGGGTCGTTGTCCTATTGAAAGGACAACATCTTTCCTGGTGATATTTATTTAAGAAAACCTCATATATCCATTTTTTTCCCATTTCGCAATGATGTTTCTGTTGGTTCATCATGTTTATTTCCAGTGAAATGTGATTTGTAGCAGGACAAAATCTGAAACTGTATGAATTGCTATGCAGGTGTAAATCTTTTTTTCCCAATGAATCGAGTCACAAAGCAAACATTTGCTGCGTTGTTCTGCCAGGATGAGGGTAAAAAAGCTGCCCATGATCCTCGCCCTCCACCTCAAGCGCTTTAAGTACATGGACCAGCTGCACCGCTACACCAAGCTGTCCTATCGTGTCGTCTTCCCGCTGGAGCTCCGCCTCTTCAACACGTCGGGCGACGCCACCAATCCCGACCGCATGTACGACCTGGTCGCTGTCGTCGTGCACTGCGGCAGGTAGGTCCTAGATTAGACCAGACTTCTATTTTTCCTTCCGTAGTTCTGGTTTGATAGAGTTTGATAATTACAGAGACGCAGATCTGTTTATTAAAGGCAAACAGAAGATCAGAAGGCAGGGTATTAGGTAAAATCAACTTTTTTTTAAGCTTTATATCATGTTATAATGTTGTTTTCGAATCTAAAATATACCTGGGGTCTTGCTTTGACTCATTCATTCATGAAGATATTAACTATGTGATCATAAAACGTACGTATTTCCGATTTTTAAAGTTGAGTAAAGGTTGTCATCGTGAAGTGGCATTTTAAAGACTCAGAAATCAGTTTAGAAGAATTAGTTTGACTTTATGAAGTCATGTGGTTTTTAACAGGACACTTGGCTGTAATGGTCCAAATTGTGAACACAAGAGAAATTCATTGTTTGTGTTTCTACAAATAAAGTTTTCACAGTGAACAAATGTCTTTTACAAACATCTGGTTAATGTAGATTGTAGGTTGAGCTTGTGTGTTGAACTGGAAAGCTTACAGTCACATGCCGTCGATCACGCGCTAACTTCAGTGTCATTTTTACAGATCGAAATTGCGGTGAAATATATTGGTGACTCATGATTTCATTTAAATCCACAGGTTAGCCTGCTGCCGTTTGGAACAACTCGCTAACCGCGATTAGCGCTGATTTTAGATGGTTCTAAACTCGATTTGCTCGGTCGCCTGAAAACAGAAGCACACATTTCATCTGTTTGACACGCCTCTTCTGTTGGCGTCTGTCCTTTCTGTCTGCGCTGCAGCGGTCCCAATCGCGGGCACTACATCACCATCGTCAAGAGCCACGGCTTCTGGCTGCTGTTTGATGACGACATTGTGGAGGTGAGAGAGGACGTCTCTAATTCAGTCGCAAAATGTCGAAATGTGTTGGACTGTTCAATAATTCAGTAGCCTGGGTGACACACTTAGAGCATTAATAATTGTGCTGTTTTGTTTGTTTTTAGATTTGCAAAGTTTACTTGTTTGCAAAACCTCAGACTTTCTTATGCAGCCATAACTGAGGTGACTTTGTAAAACGTTCGCAAGTCGACACAAGAGACACACCGTTCACAACAGGAGAAAACAAAAGGAGTAGAATATAAAGGTTAAACATAATTAAGAGCAAATATGAGCTTCTGACTGAGATAGTAATAATTAAACGTTAAATTATCATTTCATTTGGAGCAGTGATTAGGAATAAAAGGATTTTCTACAAACAGTAAAAACTAGGAGAAAAAAGGAAAGCAGATCATTTTTAGTTCTTGGATTTCTTTTCAATTTTCCCTGCTGTCAGACTCTTTTTCTTTGTCGACATTCAGCTCATGTTCTTTTTCCAACGAAAACATAATTCGTTTGCCGCGGAGGAGCTTTGCCGGTCAGGTCGACTTGGGTTTTTCTCTTTAGAGGCCATTTCTTCTATTAAAACCTTTTACGTTTTTGTTCCATCTGCGACTTCTAACTTTATTCAATCAACCAGCACAGAGTAGTTTATTGAACTAGAAGGCGAATAATATAGCTAAGGGTTTGTTTTTTTCTTTTCAAGCATTTGTTTCACTTCCCATCTGTGAAATATTTTGTAAGCCATCCGTCATGTTCTTTCCACTTTTAGTTTATCCACTGCCTTGTGCTCGTCTGTCACTTAAAATCCCTTAAAATACTGTGAAGTTTATGGTAAATATTAAATACGTATTTATATTTGATGGGGGTTTTAAATGTTTACTTTTAGGACGAATCCATCTGAGACGCAGCAGAAGCAGAGAAAGTTGAATAAGTTTCCCTCTGGTGTTCTTACTTTAAGTAATGAGAGCAGGAATGAAAAAAGAAAACGGTGAATCAGATAGCAACAAAAAAACAGAAGAAAAAACTATAAATTGCCACCAAAGAGGAACAGAGTGACAAGTTTAAAGTGCAGCAGTTTGCACAAGAGTGGGTTTAAGATTAACTTTGTTTCTTGTTCCGATGTAAATGAGTTCCAGCGAATGTAAAAGCATTTTGAGGCACAGCTTTGGTTCAGTGCTCAGTTTAGTTTGGCCGATATAACCAGAGGAATCATTTCGCTGCATCGTTCATCCGTTTTTATTTAAAGCGTGCGACGCATCACCGTTCAGTTCGAGGGCAGAGAGAAGATCGCAGACGCGTTTCTCTGAGGGCCCAGCGTTGAAAAACGATGCCGGGTTTTTTTCTCCCGCTGCTCAGACATCTGGTCTGGATTCTGCTGAACTCGCAGAACATAAATACTAACTTATCATTTTAATGCTTCGAGGAGATTTGCTTGCCCTTTTTTGTGTGCCTCTATTTATTTAATTCTGGCAGGAACCGGGGAGTCTAAATTGAGCCTGAAAGCTTGAACTGATGCCGTTTGGGGCGTTTCCACCTGGAACCGAAACTCTTTCTGCATTTCTTTCACAATCAGCCCAGAAGCTTTTAGTGGAAAACATTAACAGACCAACGAAATGGATCTCACTGGGCTGGCAAAGGGCTCAGCTTCAGGTTGGGTAGAAATCTGCAAATGTTTGGGGCAGATATGCAATAACATTTCTTACATTTTAAATACATTGCTCACAGGTCTCCAATTTAATCTCATATATTCAGGTAGTTTCTCCTGAGTCGCACACAAACATCTTCATTTGAATTACCATTAGCTAGCTGCTAGAATTTATTTATCATGAGTAAGTACGCACTTATTGCTGGTTGGCTGGACGACGTTTGTCTTCGCCACCGGCTCACTTCGGTCGCCAACCCCTCTGATGCCACATGCATGCCGTGCCTACAAAAGCTTCCCAGGAAGCAGTTAGCACTGCTACTTAGCACTGATCTGCACTCGTTGTGACACAAACTGTGAAATCTGAGGTTCAGTGGGTTTTCAACACGGCGGTCAAGCGCCGGTCCGTACCTGCTGAATAGGTAGGTGAGGGATTTATTTCCCCTGTCTGTTGTCATGGAGCTGAGGAAAGAACATGAATGGAGAGCAGCAGATGCAGCGATGGTGACAAATGGGAAAAACAAAAGTGAAAGTGTGAGCTTTTACAAACTGAAAGCTCACACTAACAAGCCGCCTGTTACCAAGCAACCCGAGCCGAGGCTCCACTAAAGGCTTTTCAAAGACGTACGGTTGTATACTTAGACTTAAACTTATTTTATTGCCATTGCACAAAGACATGCAAGTGAAACTGGCAATGAAATGTCATCGATTGGCCACCGGAGCACACACAAAAACACAAATAATAACTACTTATTATACAAATAATAATAATGATATTGCTACATATATGTAACTTCTGCTGAGACAGGTTTTGGAGGGCGTGGCCAGCAGCAGCTTATTTGGATTTAAAGTGACAGAGGTCCTAAAAAAGCTCATTCTGAAAGGAGCTCAAAGTATGATCTCATTATCTAAGAATAATTTTGTGTAAAAAAAAAAAAACCCTCCAAAGTGAATCGAACGTGTTTTATTTTGCTCGTAGATCTAACCTCTTGAATTTCATTCATAATGGTCTTAACTCTAAATGTGTGCGATTTGCAGAAACCCTGGCGTTTGGAGAGTATTTTTATTTATTTTTGTTATGAATCTTTCCAGGGAACATTGAATAAATATTGACCCAGCGATGCTAAAGGTGTTTGTTACAAAGGTCTGGAGAAAAACTCGAGAGTCCCCAATGTGTCTCAGTTCAGAACTTGCACTCTCCCCTTTCAGAAAATCGACGCGCAGGCGATCGAGGAGTTCTACGGCCTGACGTCCGACATCTCCAAGAACTCCGAGTCCGGCTACATCCTGTTCTACCAGTCCAGAGACTGACGCAGCCAGCGGTGAATTCCCCCAGCAGACTGTCTGGACGTGGCAGACGAGCCGCCGGCTGCCTCCAGTTCGCTCACACAAGTATCCGGGCTTCATTCCCCCCTGCGGCGGGGGAGCGGCTTTCAGCCCGGAGCGCCGCTCGGGGAAACGGGTTCGAGGCGCGTGCCGGTTGCATGGCTGCCTCCGGGATTCCAAGTCCTCAGAGACCACACTGCAACAAGCACCTTAATATACCAAGAAACGCCCCACTGTCTAACACTCGCTTTGCACTGTGGCACCAGGATCGGAGACCACCAGGCTGGACCGGTCATGTGCGTTTATTAGCGGCTCCAGAGGACGCAGCGGCTTCATCCCGAGTATTAATACCTTGCTACGTTAGCTTCCCTCCCCAGGAGCGGTGGAACTGCCAGATCATGAGTTCACCGGCCAGGAAGTGGAGCGACCACGATCTGGTGGCACCGTTAGACATCCGGCCTATCACCTGAGACCTCTGACATCATGTAGGGTTGGAGGCTGAAAGCTGCGTGAAAAAGCGGCGTTTCTATGATCTGTGCCTCATACACGGTATCTTAGCGCAAAGGAGTCACTGGAGGGGTGGGAAAACGTCTCAAACTGATGAGCACAGCTCCGTATTTATGACAAAAGAGCAAAAAAAAAAAAAAATCATTTTATTTTAAATATTCAAAGAACAAGTGACACAAACTGACCAAAAATTCAATTTGCAGTCTGTATGACTTCACCTTTTCAGTGTTTTTATCGGTTTAATACTGTTTTTCTTTACAATGTATTTTTATTTTATTTTAAGCTGCAGGTTTTGATTTTGTTTTGGTTTTCAAGTATCAGGACTAGCAATGAGTCTCATAGCAGCAGCTTTTAAAAGCTGACCTGTTGTAGTTGGATGAGACTTGAAGGTTGGTGATGAAGCGGTGTTGTGCCGTCTGGAGTTATGTTTGATGACATGATGGAGAAACGAAGAGGGGACCGAAGGCGGAGCAAGTCTGGGAACAAAATGCATTTTTAAAAACCTGTCTAATTTCTCAGCAGACTCAGCTCTGACACACTACAAGGATTTTCTCAGCGTCTGCCTCGTTCCGTTAGCGATCCAAAGCAGCGTTTCTTTAGCGGCTGCAGCTCTCAAATTGAGAAGAATCTTTTCACAAAGCGTTTTTTACTCGGCGATCAGAAACAATTCTCCATTCCTTTTCCTGTCTTTTCATTTAGTGTTTAAAAAACAAACATTTTATTGTCTCTGTGGCTTAAACTTTCCCCTAAGAGGTGAAAATGCTTTAGGGAACTCCCCCTCCCCCACATGTTGCTTTGTGCTTCCAGCTGTGCATGTGAGCTTAATGATGGCGGACTTGTTTTTCTCCCTTTATCTAAAGCAAAAGATGCTGATTGTACCTAATTTTCAAGCCATTTTCTATAATCAAGGTATAATCTGTTTATGTAACTCATAAACTAACACATTAACTCATAATTATGAACCTATCTGATCATGGCTTCAAAAGTCCAATTAGCTAACAGGGGTTTGGCTCTGTCGGTTTGCTCTAAAAGGGACTAGCAACAAAATACAAACAATGGAGCATAAGGTGAATTTTACAGAAAAATAATGATGCATATCTTTATGAATTGTATAACAAACAAAACGCAAATTGTCGATCCCTGATCTAAAAACAAAGTTGGCTATTTCAGTTGTTTTTTGTGAAATGTACTAAAAATCTTAGCTTAAGCTAACTTAAGCAACTCAAGCTCAAGTTATCTTAAGCTTGAATGGCTAGCTTAAGCTATTAGAACTTGATGTAGCTCAAATAGCTTTAACTAGCTGTTTAGGCTTAAGTTAGTTAGCTTAAATAGCTAAAAAAAAATTGTCAGCTTGCAACAAGAGTTAGCGTGTCTGTTGGTATGATGAACACCCATAGCATGCTAGCTAAAGCTAAGGAAGCAGCTACTACTGACTTCAGATATTACTGGGAAAACATCAGAAAGACCATTAGAGTGCTAAAGAAAACTGTCTTTTTAGCACTAAAATAAAATCTTCTGGTGTTAACCTTTAAATTTTAGCTGCAGATTTTCCATTAGTCTATCTGTTGCATTCTTCTTCTTCGTATAAGTGCAATTGCAGAAAACTAGCTGCATTCAAGAATTACATGCCGTTCAAATTTCAGCGCAATCTCAGTTTTTCATCCATCAATTTTGTTTTTAATTAGTTTTGTCTGTTACAAACCTACTAACTGACAGATTCTGCCCTCTTCTTCTACATACAAGAATTAGAATTCGAGAGTTTTATAAGTTATGTGGCAAAACAGTAAGAGGGACAATAAAAAGAAAACAGAGCTGCAGTTCTGAAGTTTGCATTTCTCTGGTTTTAGATGTAAATCTGAAAACTTTTTTTTTGTCAGTTTTCAGTTGACGTGGCAGACATAATGGAGTTTGGATGTGCCTACTTTTGCTATTTAATCATAAGGTTTTAAAATCACTCCTCAAGCACTTGTTTTAAAGGGTCGAGACCTCAAAAAGACAACACTACTTCCTCTCCATGCCTCTGCTTCTCTTTAACGCTCTGAACAAGGCTCTGGAAAACGTTGCTTTGCGTCTTGAACGTTTGTGGGTTTCAGGCAGTACGGTTGGTCTTAACATGAAGAATTCGGGCAGAAGCTCTGGAGTTTTCCCAAACACCCAGTGAGAGCGAAGTTGTTTTTATGCTTTCTGAAAGCTTCACCAATAAGCACAAAGGCGTGACTGGGAAATTAAAAAAAGAAAAAAAAAATCACAGATTAAGTTGATTGTGGATCTTTTATGAATAGTCAAACCTAATTTCAAACAAGAACTTTTTTTGTTTTATTTAAGCATTATTGTAATTATTATTATTATGAATGTTAACTTTTACTTTGAATGTTTTAGTTTTTTTTATACTTTGTCCTGTCTACCAATTTTGCGTAGGCGGCCCCGGAGGGAGGAGAAGTTACTTTTGGAAGTTTCTAACGAGAGACGTTGTGTACATAAATACAGATATTATTATAATTGGGTTTTAAATAAATGCTTGCTTAAAATAATTAACAGGCCGGCTTGACAAGTGTTCGGTGTCGAGGGACGACCTCACACCGTGCAACTTCTCTGGGAAGTTTTCCAAAAGTTCTCCTGTTCTGAAATGTGTTGGAAGAAAAAAGCTGCTCTGAATTACATAAAGGATTTTGAGAAAAAAAAACTGACTCTTGATCTGTTTTTTAAAAAATATATACATGTATCTTATATATATATAAATAAATAAGCATTGCTCATTTATTTAAGTCCTTTTAAAATGTTTGCATTGTTTACGACTTTATTGTTGGTGTTCAGGTATTGATCTTCTGATCTTTCAATAACACGATTATAAAGTGATATTTTCTTCCCTAGCTTCCAAACACTGGGCTTTGCAGGTTTTCTAGGGGAAACTTTGTGCATTTATCACAAATTTCTGTCTTTTTGTCTCGCTGTGCTCTAAAGTGGCTCTGCAAAGCGCTCCGCTTTCCTTATAAGTGACATCTGTTTTTCTGAAGAGTGTTTTTATTTTTATTTTTTTATCTTTATAACTCACGCCATGTCTGCCGCTCGTTTGTTTCCAAGCCAAAAGCTTGACTTGAACTCCGGGGAAGTCTTAACGACGAGTCACGTTAATCCCTCTTCTTTGTGTTTGCATAAAAAAAAAGCAGGAATGAGGCAGAATTTAGCAACACTTTAATAGGTTATTAAATGGTATAGAAAAACAGACAAAAGAAAAATAGATAATTTCCTCTACAATGGATAAAAAAAAAAAAAGTGGATCACCTGCTTAGGTGAAGGACAGATTATGTTCAGGTTCGGTTGTGTGTCAGGAAAACAGGACAGAACATCTTAACCTGATGATGACGTCATTTATCCACAGACTGGTCAAAACGGGAAATGCTGCCCTCTAGCGGTAAGAATACATGTTTCAAGCAGGACATAAAGTAAATCTGTTCAGAACCGCTTATCACATTTGAATTAATGCATACTATACTGGTCAGGTTAAAATGCTTCCTGTTTGCCACACTCATTTGTAGTCACACTTATTGATGAGGCTTTAGAAATTCAACCTTTCCTTTTGTTCAATGAGGTTGGAGAAATCCTTCGGCGCAACTGTTATACATTTCAAGTAAATATAACAAAGATTTTTGTAATCCAAGCTCCACTTTTAGAAGTTAGCTGGAATGTGTGACAGATTTCACTGAGCGATCAGGACGCTGTGCTTCCGTAGTTTAAGAGAGAAAAATACGTAAAATACGGATACAGATAAGTTGGCAAATGGCTACAGGAAAACAGCCACCTTTGCTAATACTGGCCAGGAGCAGAGCAATGGTTACAAAGTTCAAAACAACTTAAAACAGGGACGCCAAGTTTACCTCCCGCCTTTCGGCTGAGGTCACAGTTTCTTATATGATGGATTAAAAAAATTTTTAAATAAAGGAATTAGCAAAAAGCTAATCGCATATAAAGCTTTTAACCCTTTGTATATATAATGAAGCACATAATTAACTCCATTCTTCATTCTAAATAATCAATCAATCAGAGAGTAGGTCAGGCTGTCGTCAGCTGGAGCCACTCCAAGATTCAGCATGATGAGGTGAGGGATTCTTCATTGGTGCAGACAAAGCGGTAGCATTGCGTAGCATGAATTAGCGTAATGGTATTTCATAATGGCTATGACATTTCAGCAGTATGTACCTAAATTTTACCACATACATGTGCAGCACGTATTTGACGTCTCTGGAGCTGCAGCGCTCACGACACGCAACCTGGCTTGGTTTCAGATGTGCAGAAAGGTAAAGCTGATGCTTTATTCACAGAGTCACTGATTTTCCTATGATGTGACACAAGGAAGCCTCATGTTTAGGGTAATATTTGAAAATGCGGCCACAGCAGCTTCATTTCCATTACAAATGTGCTGCAAACTTTATCGATGTTTGGGCTAATTTCGGAAAAACACAATTTAATAATTGCAGTGTTTCCATTAAGAAATGCAATTAAAATCACGTGAATTTAAATTTTGACATGTTCATGCCATCAACCTCCTACTACTTCCTGTTCTCTTTTTTAAAAACTTTTCCGCCAGCAGTAGCATCTGGTTGTTGATCACGTCTCGGGCGATTATTTTAATACAGGCGGAAAACGTTAAATCAAAACCGCACGAGTTTCTATATTTTAAATTAACGCGTTTCCATCAAGCAAATTTATCTCCTAATCCCAATTTGCGCAATTTACGGTCAATGGAAACACAGCCAGTGTGAACTAACTTTTCAGAGACTTACAAAGCCTTGACGTCATAATAAACCCAATGAATGTAAACTTCTGAATTGGAAGAAAATTTGTTATTTAGTCTTTTGTTATTTAGACATTCAGTAAAAAAGAGAGAATTTTATGACCTAAACCAGGAACAAATACTCAGATTGAATGAAAACAAAGGGAAGGAGACGGTGTGTATTTTTAGAACTTGTTAAATATTTGGTTTCTGCTGTTTGTTAGAGGCCAAACAGCAGCTGGTATGTAGAGCAGAGATGTGTGTAAAACACGGATTGCAACTTATGTACATAAATCCCTCCATTTCGAAAACACACAGATTTTGGCCTCTATTTGTTCATGACTGAATGAGCTGATCACAGACGTCCTCATCAATGCCTTACTCCACTTTCATGTCTAGAGATGCTTAATGTCTGTCATTCTTCATGTTTTGTGCGTCGTATAGACGCCAAACGTTGTGCAACTTTGAATACTTGTAATAGTTCAACCTAGAAGTGGAGCTTGTGTGAGTCTCGTTTTTAAGATCTTTAACTGACCGTTTGTTTGGGGGATTCAGACGGCATCAGCGCCAAAGCTTGTCCAGTTGTCCCTTTAAGCTCCTCTCCCTCCCCTTAGTCATACCACCGTCTCAGAGCCCGAGCTTTTTCCAGTAAAAAAGTCCCAGAAGTTGGCGGCCGATGACGATTTGCTCTCGTCCTGCTGCATCTGCCTCACCCAGATGCTGTTCTCGGTGGAGCCGCTCAGGCTGGAGCAGCTTCCTCCGCCGCCGCCGCCTAGAGTGAAGGCCATGGCGGCGCCCAGCGCGCCACCCCGCCGGTCCTGGGGGTCGCCGTCCTGGCTGTGCACACGGGACAAGGTGGACGGCTGGGACAGGCTGAGCAGGTTGTGGTGGGAGTGGAACTGTCGCATGTGGCGGATGGACTTGGCGGAGCGGGCCTCACCTGCACAAGCAAAACGCAAGGAAGTTGTCAGTCATGCCGACTATGCTGTTACTTTCTTTTAAAGTGTCCAGCACACGTCCATCACCTTTCCACATTTCAGAATACTAAAACCTGTTTTCTTTAACTATGAGGATGAAGTCATACTAAGGCGCCCAAGTTTAAGGCTGTAACCACAAAATGTGAAAAAATGTTTAGCCACCGAGGGAAGCCAGATGGCGCTGTTGCCTCATTTATCTCATCTCAGCGTGTTAGTGACAAGAGAAGATTTAATGAGCTGCAGAACAACCACAGGATTAACTCCTGAAATCTTCCACCAGTTTGGCTTTTTTTTTTGTCCAAGTCCAAAGCAAAATACACATCTAAAAAATGATTTGAACATCCATCTAATATCTAATTGGTTTGTCAACAGTCAGCAAGTCTGCTGTGAAATGTTTCCGTGCTTAAAATCTACCAATAAACAGAAATGTGAAAGCATACAGAGGAACGTTTATGTAAGAATTTCCAGAATTGAAACTGTTAAGTAATCAGTCAGCTTTTCTTTGACTAGTTTGTTAAATGCATCATTATTAACAAACAGCATGTTCGACCATGAAGTCTGGAGTTCAGTAAAAATCACTTAAATGGTTGAAATATAACACTAGATTGCCTTGAAATGACTTCATTTTCTGCTGGATTTAAAACCTTGTAGTTTTGAACACACTTTTTACGCCACATTTTATGCCTCAAATATGATTTTATTTAACAAGACAGGACATCAAGTACTTGAAACCTTTTTTTTTTTCTTTTTTTATTTACTACCAGTCACTTCGACCCAAAAAAATGGAGGAAACTAACAGGGACATCACGTGTACGAAGGATGTCTCAGAAGATTACAAGCCTGATATGTTTTCTGGGTATGTGCTGCAGCTGGATCTGCTGCGTCAGGTCAGGTCAGGTCGACCCAACAATCATCCAGCTACAGGGCTCAGGTTGTGTCGGCGCATGCTGTGTTGCAGTTGCATGTTCACATCTCGTGCTTCGGCATTAAACCTTGTTTCATCAGATTCGCCAAATAATTTATATAAACTTAAATGTAGAAACAGCTTCTTCTTTTCAACAGATTTATGTCTAAAACATGTTTCATGTCGTTGCCTAAAAACTGGAGACTTTTTGCTGTGAATGCACCTCAAACAAGCGGGTGAAACAAGTATTGAACACAAAACAATTTAGCTGCTGTAGTTTTTTTCTAGCATAGTTTCCTCTCTTATCTGTTATTGTCACCAAACATGAATTCTGTCATTGCCAGTTTTCTAATCTTTGTATTTATCCTTTAACTTCTGGACTCCAAAATATTTGGGGGCTCGTCCGGACCTAAACTTGGATTTCTCGCAGCCCACACAAGGATCATTCCTCTTGAGCTTTTGCATATATAGACAACACAAATATAAAGTGTGTAAAAATTTCTTTCGAAATACTCAGATAGTAAATGAAACCAGTACCGAATCTCCCTTCTGGCCGGTTTCTGGTCTGGTTCAGTTTGAGGACGTTGAGGAAGACCTCGCTGGTCAGGCTGCCATCGCCGCCACTCCCATCCGGAGGGAAAAGCGGCGACGGGGGCTCAAGAGGGGACAAACTTCCGCTTGAGGCCCCCACTGAGTCCAAAGAGGCCCCTGTGTCCCGGCGACCCCCGGACTCGCTGCTGCCCTCTACCGTCAGGTGGCTGCCACTGTGAGCGAGAAGACAAGCTCAGATCGATGATTAGCAAGAGTCAGGAACTGTTTGTGTCTGACCTGACAGTAGATCGGAGGAGACGTACCTGAGTTTCCTCCGCAGGAGATAATCGATGACATCCGGGTCGGTCTGGATCAGACTCATCAAGACTTCCTGCTGAAGCTCTGCAGACACCTGCAGGAACACACAGACCATCCGATCCGATTTAAACTAAAGTCGACCGAACATATTGGTGATAAAATCTCTGTCTCTCCAAAGTCTCTTTGAAATAACAACCACAACAAAGGCTGGTGACGGGTGTGATTCTTCTGGTACCGTGAAGAGCCTCTTGTAGTTCTGTATAAGCACCAGAGTGATGCTGATGATCGCAGTGCTGTCCTCGATGCCCATCGCCTGAGGACTCATGTCTCCGCCTCCCTCCCACTGGAGCAGGTTCGGCCCGAAGATCACGGCCAGGTTACCTGCCGTCATCTTGTTACCGGGAATCTGCAGGGGGATGATGGCCGTAAAGACGGGGAAGGAAACAGTGGCTGTGTTTCCAAAGACCATATGGTGGCATAAATTAGAATTATGAAAATACATTTCATTAAAGGAAACATCAATTTAAAAAAATAACATTTTCCAAAGAGGTTGTTCATCAGCTTTATTGAAATTTGTGTATTTTGCAAAACTGCAATGGAAACACTTTTTCCCATGAGCCACGTGATCAACAACCCAATGAAAATGGCAGGGGGAAGCACACCATGACTTCTAATTTTACCACGTGAATAAATGTAGGCACGTGAGATTTTAACTTCTTATTTAATGGAAACACAGCCATTACAAAATTGTGTGTGGGGGGGGGGATTTCAGCATTAGCGGAAGTTTTCCACACTTCTTTAATGGAATGTAAAATGTCCTTTTGCCACTTTTTCTGCAAGAGCTAAAGCTTCGTAGACGATGCGTTTCCCAACTTTCTTCGGAGTTGGCAAAGAAAGACGTGATGCTGGATTTTTACTTTCGACACAAGATGTCATGACATATGATCCAACGGGCCTCGCTAATTTGAATCGAGGTCCTCGCTTTGCCTACCTCCTCGTCGTTGGTCCCCACGGTGTCCTGGGCGTAGCTCTGCACGGTCTGCAGCATGGACAGGAGGCGCAGCAGCGTGTCGCAGTTGCAGGGAGGGAGCAGGTAGAGGAGGTGCTGGAGGAACTGCAGCTGGTCTGCTCCTCTCAACACTGTGTGAAGCATAAGCCAGGGTTACCTGCTGAGCCCCAACGACGCTGCAACCTCTGCTCTTCAAAAACTAAGTGCAGCAACTTACAGAAACATTTATATCCCTTGACTCTTTTTACATTATAGGATACCGTGAACACAAATATCCGTCCGTCCTTTTTACCGGGACTTAATATGACCGACCAACACGAAGTGGCTTCTGATTGTTTAAGCTGTCATTTCTTTAAAAAAAAAAAAAGAAAAAAGATCTTGTGGTTTTCAGAAATACTCAGCTCGGTCATAAACAACCAATCACAGTCAGGAGGAGGGTCTTAGTGCAGCCAATCAAGATTGTGTAGGTGCTGCTCACATCCTACCCCTTATTCTCTGCTAGGCTACAGCTAGTTCACCTCACCAGAAGCATCCATGAATGCTAAAGCTGGTTAGCATAGGCACCAATGACGGTGGATAAATAGTTTCCCTGTAACGGCAAATTGTTTCTCCACCATTAGGACACATGGTGGGACAAGCTTGATTGACAGCACTAAGACCCTCCCCCTGACTCTGATTGGTGGTTCCTGAGTAAACGGTGGTTCCTGTGGTCGTAAACCCATCAGATGGCTTTATGACAGGGAGGTACCATACCGTCACGACATGTAGTGACAGTTTTAACAAATATGTCAAAAAACATATTTTAAAAATAAAAGTTACATCTGCAGCTTTAATTAAAAAAAACAAAACAAAACAATTTTTACGGCAAAAAACTTGAAAGTGTCCTTTCACCGACTGCACCTGTGAGGCACAATATCTGTTCAGGATGACAGCAAGCGTCTGGCGTTCACATACGGTTAGCGTGCAGGAAGGCGGGGTAGAGCTCCCGGGGCAGCAGGGGGTCCGGCATGTCGCGCAGAAACTCCTTGAGCAGCGCCGCCACGTCGTGCACGCTGTGCTCCTCGTCCAGCTGGACGTCCACCCCCATGTCGAAGTCTTCACGCAGCTACGGGAGCAAAGGAGACCGCTAATATCACAAAGGAACTGGAGCTCGTTAACACAAACAACAGGCTTGTGACATGTTGGGGTCACGCAGGGGCCACTCCCCCCCCTGTGGATGTGATTTCTAAATAACAGGATATATCACTTCATCAGTTTGAAGATTATATTTGTTTTTGTAGCATCCAGCAGTGAGGAGCAGGAAACGGTGCAGAGTGAACCAGGGGACGCCATGTAGCTGCAGGCAGTGGCGTTTCTGTGTTTTATGCTCAGGAGAGTGAAAGAAGCAGTCAAATTGGGGTCACAGCTCTTAAAATAAAAACATATTCCTGGGTCAGGCTTTAGTTTGGTGGCCTTGACCTCATTTCAGGCTTTAGCAGACCACAGAGTCAGCAGTAAGACAACAAAAAAAAGGTCTGGAAGTGGCTGAAAGGTGAAGATAAACTACACAAATATTAGCCGGAAAGCTAAAATATCACAATATTTCAACAGTTGAAAAAGATGTGATGATTGATGTAAAGTGTAAGGAAACATCCATCCATAAATGTATCCATTCATTATAGTAACTTCGTCAAGATCTCCACGGTAACAGGTGGTGTTACTGCCAAGACCTCTGAACCAGACAGAAACTGAAACTTCAAGGGATCAAACCCTCAGTAGAATAAATGCTTGAGAAACCAGGAGAGCTAGCTTAGCCAACCTGCTGAGTTTCTGCATAATTTATGTCCCATTTGGATCTGGTTTTGTTAGCTTGCCTTTTCCTTTTAGCTTCCCTCTCTAGGCGATGATAAAAATAAAAATTGCACTATTCTACTGAGTATCTTTGCTTTCCCACTTGATTTGATTTGCAAGTCAGTTATTTACGCTTTGAGTGAGTAGATCTTATCACCGACTGCTGACTCAACCGCTGCTGCCACTAATTTATTTCAGCCCATGTTCTCTATAAAAATAAAATAAATAAATGGATAAAAGATGGACAGAAATGTGATGCTGCGATGCCACAAATATTTGACCATGTCAAATGTGCACAACGCCGTTCCAGTCAAAAGCCATGAAGCTCGGAAACTACGGCTCACGTTTTCTTTTTGACATCTGGCCTCACTTAAAAACAAACTGGAACATTGTGAATATTTATATCATTTAAAAAAAAGAATACTGCCAGTTAAATTTCATGTGAATATGTGCAGATTTTAAGGCTGTTTTATGTATTTTTTTATTCCACAGTGTAACTTTGTGGGTTTGTGATTTAAAGGGACTGAAGATTGAAATTAGCCGCCTCGCTATAATTTCATATGTTTACATGTAAATGTTCATCAATAGGTATGGTCTGTCAGTTCAGCTAATATATGCTAATAAATGCTCTTAAGCATCCATGCTGTATTTAATTATTACATATAGAAAGAAAAAGTATGATAAATAAATATTGGATTAATTATGCATGCTTAAAGTATGACTATCATACACTGTTATTGTGATATTACAATTTATATGAGTAATATATACAATCCATTTCATTTATTTGAGATGGTATATTCCACTGAACTCTTTTAAAGATAAAAAGTGTAAGTCCTCACCTGTCTAACTCTCTTCTTAGAGCTCCCGACTCGGAAGATGCCGACAGTCTGGAGCCCTGAGGACGAGGTTTGTGAGCATTTACCGCTGGGAGTTTTGTTATCAAAGGGAACGGTCGACTCCCAGGAAGAGCCTCCAGTCTCACCGTAGGTCTCGATGTGGCTGCAGCACCTCTCCACCACCCGAGGCACCTGCCTGTAGATGGGGTTGAGGCTCAGCTTGGACTGGGTCCTCCCTTCGGACGGAGACTTCTTCAACTCCAGCTCGGCCGGGTGGGACAGCTGCAGCGCCTCCAGCAAGCGAGACTGACTCTCGACGAGGTCAGAGAGGCAGTCCACCGACAGCCCACCCTGTGAGGCAGAAGGTCGGAGGTCATCAGGTTCACAACATTAACTCTTTTCTGTTTCGTGTTGCATTAAATATACAGAAACCCAGTGTTGACATTAAACAGATGATACTGTTTTGCTGTACACATTGTGTTGTGTTACAATGTACAATGCCAGGTTGTATCTTATTTTGCCATATTGTATCACATTATATATATAAATACATCAGCATTTCTAATATTGTTTCATATCGTTACCTTTCATGAAATAATGGTCTTTTTTTGTTTTGCCAAAAAGTGATTTTTTTCTTCTTCAAATAATCTTTTGGCAATTAAAAAATGGGTGATTTTTCTTTTCTTTATGTTTTTCTTTTATATTTTTTGCAAAAAATAACATTTTAGGAGGGTGACAACGTCATTATTATTATTATTATTATTATTATTATTATTATTATTATTAATTAATTTATTTATTTCAAAGAAGTAACTGGCCATTTACCTTACTTTACTAGCACTTCGAGCTCCGCTGGTGCATTCTCTCACTTATAACATAATCTCATAATCTCAAGCACTTTATATTAATATAAATTTTTTATATTAATATATCAATATTAAGAAATTATTGACTTAAAACAAGCTCCTATTTATTGTTGAAATGTTACTAAGTTTGTTTTGTCTCATTTTAATACAGTTGCACTCGAAACTAGACTAAAAATACTTGGTAGATTTTGTCTGTTTTGCAGAGTGAAGGTCACACATCAAAATGATATCTCTTCACTGTGTTCGCTTCGGTAAAATGTCACAAATTAAAAACGCCTTGGTTTCTTCTTATTTTCAAACCGAGGCGTGTGTTTCATCAGGATGACATGACTGGCCTCAGAAGCATCACGACTCTCCAAGGGACACGTTTCTGTCTACGTGTCAAGAAGATTTATACTCTTTATGCTCAGATATTTTGGCTGCGGATCAAAATTCTGCACACATACAACAGCAAGAAAAATCCTAAATACTTCTGGGTCAGACTGGGACATCACTGCTCTCATATTTAAGTTAATCTAACACAAGGAATATTCTAACTTGCTTTTATCTATAAATGTTGAGATATGTAAAATGTGAATACAGATTTAGATGTATACGTCCAATATTTGTGACTAAACAATGTACAAAACTCAAAGTGGAGTTGAAATAATTTGTGCCTCAAATCTCCTGGAGGAACATCAAGAGTCTGGAGGAATTTCCTCAGTGGGAACGACAAGCAGAACACTGTGGCTCATAAAACCGGAGATATTTCCTCCATCTGAAGTGTGTTAGATGCACACATGGGCAAAACGTTTATGGATAAGCAGTGACTAAATTAGAATGTGAATGGACATATTTTGTGCAAAAACTTAGTAACTATATCTAACTTATCCTCCGTGTTTCTTGTTTCTATTATTATCATAAGTTGTGCAGCAAATGCCTTCATGCAGAGCAAATACAAAACAGTCTGAGGAGCGATGTTGGCCACAGGTTCTAAACTCAACATGGAAACGTTTTTCATTTATTTAAAAGTCAAAGTTTCCTGCTGAGGTTTTACTCAACCACTACCGACAAGAACAATTTTTGACTTTTGAATTTCAAACAGTAAAGCGTCTAAATCTTGGTGTCGCACCTGTGCTGTTCATTGTAGCGCCGGCGTGAAGATCGGCGAACATGAAATGAGCAAACTGAATCTCCAGTTGTTGTTTGTGTTTCCACAACCAACAACTGGTTCCACAGGAAGTGAGAAAACCAGACAATTAAAACTCTAATTGGCTTTGCTTTGAAGACTGTTGTGTTAAGTTTTATCGGTTCTTTTCTTTTCTTTAGATATATTAGACATATTTCCTCAATATTAGTGATGGATGGTCTCACTAAATAGGCTCTTTGGTAGAGAGATCTTTGGTAGAGAGATCTTTGGAAGAGACGGATGAGACGAAATTCTACTGCAGGAAGTTGATTATGTGGCTAAATTAACTTCCTGCATGACTTTTACATACATGTTTTTCTATTTCTCTAACTTACAATCTGAGGAATGTATTAGTGAATAATTCCAAAATTCTTTGAAGGAAAACTTTTTTCTTTTTCTTTCACTTTAACCACATTTTGACACTAATCCTTAAATACAAATTAGTAAGCTTCTTTTCTTATAAATTTTTTTCCTGAAGAAAATGTTTATTGAGCGATAATAGAAATGGATAATTGCCACAAGTCCTACATGTTGATGTTTTTTCTCCTAAATGCTTCCAGCCTGGATGCCTGTTCAGAGTTTGCCTCCCTGACAGGCTCCTAAAAGCGCCGCCTGATTGCTGCTTCATGCTCAATTGCTGTCCTCTGTGGCTGTAATGATGCTCATTATGAGCTTAGGAAAACAACTGCTTTCAGATCAGCATGGAGACAAATAACTGGTGAGCCTTAGTCATGTGTGCACACGCATACGTGGAAGCGCAAGAATTTGATGGTCAAATGCACAAGTTTTCAAATACCTTACATGTTAGTCTGCAGTTTTTGGTTAAGCTAAAGCAGCATTAGCAATTGGAATTAGCATGTGAGAGTCAGGTCAGAGTTCACTATTTAAAAATTAGTTTCTTTTTGAAAATGTCTCTGCTAATAACAGTGGAAGACCTTTGTGTTACAGTGCTGATTTTTTTTTTTTTTTATTGTATGATTAATGTTTGAGTTTTTCAGGTTCTGTTGCTGACGTCTGAAAGCGGAACCCATCTCACCCTTCTTTGTCCTCGGCTGGCGCTGTCCATAATTGTCGGCGACGCCGCTTTGCCCTGCGTGTCGTACACCGGCGCCGGAGCCACCGAGTTGGCGGAAGGCGACCCGGGGACTCCTCCTGTGATGGACGAGGAGCTGCCCAGAGGTTTGCTCCCGTTGAAGAACTGCCTCTTCTCGGCCCTGAAGCGCAGGACGCTGGCCTCCAGGTCCAGACAGTCGCGCCTGCTCTCCTTCAGGGCGTCCTGACGCCGCTTGTACGCCTGGTCGTTGGCGATCGCCTGGGAGAGCGGGATGCCGAATGCTTTGGGGGCATTTTCTGAGGAAGAACCAACGAAAGGGGCAACATGGACACATATGTGACAAATAATCATGTCTAAGAGACATTTAGAGACCAATTAACTCAACTGTTATGTGTTTGGATTCTGCTCTGCAAAAGTACGAAATCTTACCAAGCATTTCCATGAATCACAAAATGCAATTAAAATCGCAAAACAACATGGCGATGACATATTTAAACATTCGACCCTCCAAAAGTCTTACATCAGTCGGTCAACGGCTGAACATCAGTTTCAGGTTGGCCTGTCAGATTTGTTCTTATAAAAGTTTGCTCTTTCGAAATTAGCGCTTTTCCTTCAAGCAAATTGGTGTAATTCCAATTTGTGCACTGTTAAGGTCAATGTAAACAGTCCCGATTAATTCCCGTTAACAGTAACATCTTCATTTCTGATCACATCTGACTTTCTGACTGCAACTAACTCTCATTAAATGAGTTCTTGCCAAAAGATTAGATCTCCAAAATGGCTCAACAAGCCGAGCACTTAACAGAACTGAATTAAGTACCTCATGCCATTAAAATGCATGAGGTAGGAAACAGTGAGATTACCCTCGCTCCATCTATTCGCTCTCGCACTCAGAGAACCGTGAGGCAGCACATGATAGCCTGAATGAAAAACACATGGGCCACCGAGTGACGCTCACGTGCGTCAACACCCCGGCGACTAGGTCGCGCAGCAGAGAGGGACTGGAATGAGGCCACGAAAAGCCTTAAATATATGGGATTGACTGAGCCTTAAATAACTGCAGACTTCTGCTCTCAGCAGTTTGGCTGAAGGCGTTCCAAGATCCTCAATAAAGACAGCAAAAGAGACTTAGGAATGACGAAAATAAAACTTGGACAAAGTTATTTTTCATCAAATGTGAGTTACAAAAAAAAAAAATGCCATATTGTTTTCACATCAAGCCAATTTAATACTTATTTTTGTCTGAAGTTTCTGCAGGTTTTCCAAATCTTAATGCAGCATAATACATCATGCAGTAAAATTCAAAGTAAATTTCCTTTTTTTTCCCTCCTTTTCCTTCAAATCAAATTCAAAGTTTCCAGTTCAAACTTTAACTCTCAATAACTCGGCTTTCTGTCGTCCAGGCCCCGTTTCCCCTTTAATGCTGCGTCATTTCAGGCTGCGGTGACTGAGCTCACCCCTCATCCACATGTACCCTGCTCAGGTGCCACACCACAGATAAGCTCCTTGTTCTGATGGCAAACTGCCTGCAACAACGAGCTTCTTGCAGTGGAACATGCTAATGGTCACTGCAGCTAGACTGGCTTGTTCACAAAGCATTAGGCCACAATGAAGCAGTGTTTAGCCCATTAAAGGTTCTGTTGGTTTCTTTTTTTACCCGATCAAAATACTTTCCCACAGCCCGGTTTGGGTTTACCTGAGTCCCTAGAAAATATTCGGAACTTCACTAAAACATTTTCCAGGTGTGGATCGGTATATAAAAAAAGTCTGTTTTCAACTTTATTCCCAAGCTCTGTTTCTGTGACAGGTGGCAACGCTATTACGTCTATAAAGTCGGCCGACGACAGCGTCCACAACTCAAAGTTGTGTTTGTTGCTCCCCAACAAACACAACTTTCCACTTCTACTAACATCTGCCTTCCAAAGCCCCCCTACCCCAGGGGGCTTCACCCAGGGTGTGTTTGGGTTTGCCTTTGTGGTACACAAAAACATAGGATGCCAATATGCGTCATGCCTTTCTTGAAACACAAATATATGAGTGATGGTGCAAGGTGACTTAAATGAAGACTGATGCCACAGTTCTTTTGGTTAGCAGCTCATCAGGAAGGGAAGGTGAACAGGATTTTTCACCTGCGACCAAAAACTTTAATATAATAGCATGAGTCTACTCCTTTATTATATTTAATAGTATCCAAATTAATAAGAAACAGTCTTCTGGTATTGTTCTACTGATTTGCATAATCACCAATCCACAAGAAGTGAATCTCTGATGATCTGGTAGACAATCATTCTGCTGATCATTTTTGTTCATTAGTCCAGATCTGGTTTTGTCTTGAAGTGAAATAATGTACGACGCACTGATACAAGCGCTTGGGTGATTTCCTTTAAGTTGCTGCAGCATGCATGCCTCTCTGTATAAGTTTTAAGAACTTAAAACAATAAATGATGCTTAGATTAACATGGGGGGATTTTATTTTTTTTTTTAACTTTCTACAAGCTTTTGAGGCAAGTTCTTGTGCCACACATTGAGAAAATTGTCAAAAGTAGTAGACAACAAAACCTTTTCTAGTGATTTTTTTAAACGTAGAACATGTGCTTTCCACACGTCAGGCATTTCCTGAATTACCACATTTGCTTCTTATTGACATCATCAGCTGAGTCAGAGCATATATTTAGTAATTCTTCAGATTGCCACTTAAGGAAGAACTGATTTCCATAAACACGAGCAGCGGCACAGACGAATCCTTCGTCTCGTTTCCCCCCCCAACAATATCTCTGCTAAATAAGCGAGGCGTCTCCACCAACAGGAACAGGCTTCAGACTCTTGTTCAGTAAGCCTGCGCTTATTCCTCAGTGCTGATGTTTATTGGTCGCCTGACTCATCATCCATGGTGCCGTCTCTCTTTTAGCTGTAATTACTAGCAAAATAATCGCATTGATGTGTTTAGCTGTTTGCACTCGAGCTGTTTGCTTGTTCAGGAAGCAGCGCATTTAACAACTGACTGATTCGGCCAACAGACACATGAAGTGGATGTTTAGATGCCCAATAGCTGCAGGCTGTATTGATAAAGAATTTATAGTAGGATGTTGGTTGGGAAATGTGTGCTTTTAAGGGAAAGTTGTGTTAAATTGTTCGTGACCTGTGCCTCTCTTATTTGTTTTTTTGGGGGAGGAGGGGAAGGGTTGTGCAAATTTTTGAGATACACAGAACCACGAGTGCTTCAGTCCAGAAATGTGGTCTTTCTGGTGGCGGAAGAAAAAGAGTCCCTTCTTCATTTAGCCACAAGTCGTGTGGAAAATGGAGGAAGAATGGAAAGTATGTGCCACGAAGTGTTGAAAAACGAACATTACGTTCGTTCCCGGTCATGACGCCTGGCAAGGTGCACGAGTACGCCAGCTGCACCACCTTCTCCACGCCGTCGGAGTTCATGGAGGGTCACTACACCTTCCACAGACTAGCCAATAAGGAAGAGGTTTTCCAGGTGGCCATCCCTCGTTTCCATTTGGTGGCACACTGAAACCGCGATGGCAGTTCCATGAGTGATGCCGCTTGATGCACTTCAATCTTGAAAGTGAACATTACAAATTACTTTAAAATATTTGATACTGGTGGAGAATATTGTTTTCTAGCAGAATGCAGACCTTAGTGCGTGTTGTGGTGGCGCAGGAGTTAAGCACAACCCACGTATGGAGCCCTTAGACTTCGATGCGGCAGTCGCAGGTTTGATTCCCGGCCCTTCTCTCATCTCAATTAACTATCAAATAAAGGCCACTAGAGCCAATAAAACCTTTAAAAAATATGAATGGTCAAAGGCCAGACCTCAACCATATTGAGTTTAACTGAAGTTAGCAATTTAATTATCCTCAGCTACTATGACTGAAATCACAAAAATATTTGCACCTGAACTGTAGCAACATTTGGCTCCAATGTCCTGAGTCAGGCTCCTTATTTATGGAAAGAAAAACAAAAACAAAACATCTTTCTTCTGTTTATGCTTCACTACAATTACATCATATAACTGGTCTGAATTTAGACTCCAACAAAATGCTTCACTTCTGATGTCCATAAAACAGCTTATTTTATGACGTATCAAAATTCCCAATATAAAAGTCATCCACTGGTCGAGAATGATTATCTTTTAAAGTTTGAAGTTTTATTGTTTAAAGTCGGTTTGCAACCGTGTTTTCAGGACCAAAACATAATTTAAAAAGAGAATAAACATTTTTTTCAAAAAAGATGACAATCTGCTTCTACATTAGCCTCACGCTGACTTTGTTTGACTGCCAGTGCAGCAGGGATTAATTTTGAAATGAACGCTAAATCTCAGACAGGAAGACAGCTGTGTTTGTGTTCATAAATCTGAGTCTTCTGCCTCTGGAGTGTTCGCAGTCATCAGCTCAGACTCTTCCAGTAACGAAGGATTGCAGTAGATTTATAGCACTGCTGCTCAGGATTCTCCTCTGTTTTTCTTTAGCCACAGCGGCAGTCGGATAATAATATGGGTCATCTGGGGTATTAATCTTTAAAAAGAACTGTTGGTTTAACACTTGTTGCCCTCTAAGTACACCCAGGACTGGCCTGATGCTTAGGCAGTACAGGAGAATGCTAAGGGCGCCATAAAAAGGGAAAAGAAAAAAAGTAGTTTTTTTAGGTAATATTTCTTAATGTGAAAATTTCTGTACTAATTTAGCTGCATCGTAAAAAATATAATAAATACGACATTTAAAAATAATAATATGGTGCTCAGCTGTCCCTCTTCTCTACTAGTTAGTCTGTTCCTGCATGCTGTATGCAAACTATCGAGAACAGAATTACAATTCTGCAAAAAACTTTGCAATGTTGAAATGAAAACACAAGACCATACATTAAATGAGAAACTCAATTAAAATCACACGTGAACATATTTCTTCTCGCAATAAGTTGTCAAAAAACATGCTGCTTTCCAATATCTGGCTACTTCCTGTTTTTGTCTTCGTCTTTTCCGCCAGTAGCAACATCCGGCTGTCGACTTGCAAAAAAAGTATTTCCATTGCAGTTTTTACAATTTTCAAAATACACAAATTTCGATACAGCCAAAATATGACATTATCCTCGTGCAAAAACTTTTTCATCAAAAACTGTAAGTTTTTTTTTTTCTTTTTATAACTGGAATGTTTCTTCAAGGCAAATTTATTTTTGTAATTCCAGTTTGCACATTTGGAACTGCAGCAGAAAACTATTAGACAGAAAGACCCTCAAAATCAAAAGTGACAAAATTTCGCCTACGGCGACAAAATGTCCACTCCCATAACAGTAGCTCTAGTACCGACCAGCTCGCCACACAAGCTTCACAGCCGCACTCCAAACAGATTACGGTTGCCACTGCGTAATCCTGTTATATGTACTGTAATCTGCAACCTGCTAACCCCTGGAGGCAGCAGGAAAGCAGCACCAGGTCCCGATGTTCTGCGTATTGATTAGCCTGGTCAACATGGCCGCTCCAGCGTCTGTGTGTGAGAGGCTGCAGGCGGCATTTAGAGGTCTGCACAGACAGCCGGGAATGTGTGTGTCGAGTGTGTCGGATGGTGTCTCGCCCTGCAGCGATTATCACCTGGAACCAGAGAACATCTCATTCTGTAAATAAACGAGACCAGCGGACGGGAGAAAAACACAATGAGGCTAATTTTGACAAGATGACTGTGAACCGCCTCTGTTTACATGCTTGCAACTACTGATGTCCCAGGAAAGGGAGCAGGGACATCAGTAAAAGCGGCAGCAGATGCAAACGGAGCCGCAGAAATGTCTAACGTTTACAGCCAACGCAGCTGTCTTTGTTTTCCGTTTAGCTGCCCAACAGAAACATGAAAATTCTAAAAGAGCAAATAGTGTAAAACTGTGGGAAGGATGTGGGACAGACCCAAAGCGTAACAACAAACACATGACCCACAAACATCCGTCCTGGTCCATTGTTGTAGCGCGAGTCCTCGGTTTTAAACGGCACACCAAGAACTCTTTGGCTTTCATAAATGTGGCTGGATAACGCAAAGCACGTTCAAAAACCCGTCACAGAGAAACCTCAACTTGTCTTCACACCAGTTCTGACTGCACTTATGTGGCAGCACCATTGTTCCTGGTTGAATAAAACTGTGAACCAGGACAGACACAAGGTTTTCTGAATAAAAGAATAAAATTAAATCAATCAAATTCTTTGTTTTTGCACAAATTCTTATCGGCTGAAATACAGCAAGACTTGGGGATGAAAGTGGAGGCGACTGCAGAAGTGATGGTGTCTGTGATATGATTCAAAATAAAACTACATGCTACTGCAATTAAATTGGCAAATGTAGTCCTAATTTAGTCAACAAATTCCTTCTGCAGAGTAGACCGAGGCATTTTTCTTTGACCGGCTTATTTGTCTAATGCAAATAAGCAGACTCTCTCTGCAGCACTTCAAATTTGGCTGGACTGCCGGCACTCCGTTTAGGACTTGAAGGTTTAAATTAAGTTCATTAGCCTTTCAAATTTGACTCGATTTTTTAAATCGAGTCAAATTTGGCTCAGTTTGACCAAGAAGCCTGGTTCACCATCAAACCAAGCTAATTACCCAAGCTGCTTGGTTAGCTCATTAACCAAGGAACTACGATTGTGACATTTTCTCGTTGAGTTTATTCTGTCGTAAACCCTTTGACACAGCCTAAACAATACTGTGGTTATTTCCAGAAAACAGGATGTTACCTTAACAACAGTGACACGGCGCCACGTAAAAGCGCCCACTGTATTCAGTCATCATTCAGTTTATGTTACACTAAACCAGCAGAAACAAAGACGCACATGCCTCCCTCTGGGAACCCAGCGTGATTCAGTCTGCAGCCCTCCTTGTGCTTTATAAACACTGTTTTTCAAGAGGGACTAAAAGTGGTTAGCACTAGTAAAAGTCACTGGAAGTCAGCGGTGGAGATGCTGATTGAGCGGACAGAGGGGACATTGTTCTTCATGATGACGTTCGCTGTGGTAAACATCGGATTCGCGGAAATGCGTTCACGGCTCGTCTTGGGAGTCAGGCCTACGGCCGCGGATGGTATTGTGTTTTACCCCTTAATGTAAAAGTGCTGCGTGAACTCACCTCGCTCTTTCTTTTCCTTTGAGAAGGAGTCAAACCGTCTGCGGAGGGACTTTCTTCGTTTGCGTATTTCTGCGGGGAAAAAGGAGAAAAAGTTACAACGGATGCGAATCATCGGATCGTCTCAACAATAAAGATTGTGCAATCCACGGCCTGAAATGTCTTTCTTCAATTTATCGTATTGTGTACTGTTGAGATCAAACACTGTCCTCTGTGTGGAAAAGCTCAGTTGTTTTTTTCTGTCTTTTGGGACAGAAGTGAACCGAGAAACATCTTTTTCTTGTTCCGTACAGACTGCATCCTCACCACAACTTTCTCCTCTTTCCTCAACAGCAGAGCAGAATGTTTCTGCAGACGAGCCATGGCTGTTTGTTTGAACAGCCTGCTTTCCTTTGTGAGCGTAAGAAAAGGGGTCCAAGAAAAACACAGAGACAATGTTTAATGTTTGCACTTTGGATTTTATGTGATTCACCAACGCAGCGCTGCCTGGTTGTGAAGTGGTACCTACACGATTTCTGAGTCTTCTTTTCCCTCCTAGCTAGCCAACTTAGATTTTGTAAAACCACCTTTCCCTGCTGTTTTCTACTCAAACTTGCACATCTATAGACTAAAATGTATGTCTGTCCTTTTTTAACAAAGTTGCTCAAGCTAAGAGTCTCTGCATTGAAAAATCAACTTTGTTGCATCTAAACTCACTACTTTTGCTCAGTTTGATCCAAAATCAAATGGGATTTCCAAGCAGATCTGATGTGAACTGGCAGCATCCCCACAGCTTCGTGCCGTGTCGGTTCACAGGATCTTCACCGATTCCTTATGGAGTTTGTTTCAAAGCAGGTCGATTCTCTTTTTCAAGCTCCATGCTTCACTTTTCGGACTTGTTTATGTGCAAGGATCCCGGGGTCTGGTGTTTAGAAATGACTAATCCGAGGAAGGATTAGTCTTTTCCCGATTACGTAAGGACTTTGACTTATTACCTACAGTTGCACTTTCCAAAATACCTGTGACATGAGTAACAAAATCCTTTACTTTTTCCTGACAAGGACATTTTCAAAAATAGACATAGAAATAGAAACAGAGCAGGGGGGAAGAGGGGAGAGCGTTTCAGCTGTTGGGATAAAGAGGTCAAATTCCCACGACTGCAGGAAATTAAGGTTTATTTCTAAAGTGCAGAGCTCCTCCCAGTGAACACATGGCACCTCCATCTAAGGCTTATTTTCTATTGATGAGTGTGTTGCTGCACTTGAACATTTCCAAAACACAGAAGAAGAAAAAGTGACGGTCAAATAGAGGGGGGCGTTTGCAGAAATGCAACGTTCTGACCTTTTCTTGTTTAGCTTTCACAAATTTAAGTTCTGGCTCCAGTGTAAATAAATACCTGGAAATCGTCTGAAGCCAACCCAACATCTGTCTGCGGGATGGAACGTCGCTGGTTTGAGAGAGGAAAAAAGACGAACCGCAACGCAAAAGATGCAAAGATGCTGAATGTTTTCCCAAAATCTGCCAGGTTCCAGCCATGAACGTCAATCTTTATTCAGATTTCCGCGGGACTTGACTACAAGCATAACATCACCGTGAACTGGAGAGAATGTGAACACGATGGTCTGTAGAATAAATCCTAAAAACAAAAATAAAAACCCCATGAAAGTATGTGATCAGAAGTGAAAAACTAAAGGAGTGTGACAATGTTTTTTCTGCAAGCCCTCTGAACTACTAGAGGGCTCGTAAAAGCGCCCACTGTGTTCATTCATTATTCAGTTTATGTTACACTAAACCAGCAGAAACAAAGACGCACATGCCTCCCTCTGGGAAGCATGTGCCATGTGTTTGTCTGTGTCCAAACACATGGCAACAGACATGATTAAAAACCCCTGGAAGTGCAAATATTTGCAGGGATTAAAGTGGGAATTATGTCGATCTAATTGTTTTTTGACAAACAAAAGGGTTCAGTGTAATATCCTAACTATATCTCTGGCAATAAAAAAAACAATAGCAGCTGCAAGTTTTATTAAGTTCTTCATCTGAAATTAGTCTCCATCATGAGTTAATCGAAAGATCTGGTGTTTGCTGGTCTCTCTGCTGCTCTGGGTTTGATTATTTTGGAATTGAGAGAAGGTAGATGGGCTGGAGAGAGGCTGAAAGGAGGAAAACAGACGACACAAGAGGCAAAGCGGAGATTCAGAGAGTGTCGTCGTCCTGGTTAGAAAAGAGACTCAAGAGTAAGGGGGCATGAGAATGAACTCCGAAAACAACAAGCAAAATGAGCAGCAAGGGATCTGGTCAAAACGTGACATGAGAAAACAAAAATATCGAGCGAAATCTGCATGGAAGCAGCGAGGCAGACTGAGGGAGAACGCAACAGAAGCCCGAGGAGGACGAATGGGGAGGAGGACGAATGGGGAGGAGGACGGCGCTGCGGGAGACGAAGCCTCGGCCGAAACGGACACGTTGCTCTGCGGAGATTTCCCCCCTCGGGGGAGACGAAGAGCTAAACTATTCCCACACTCGCTCACTGAGAGCTTTGTCTGCAAGCTGGGGGGAAAAAAATGAAAAAAGAATAAAAAAAAATCTTTCTCTCAGCTGATGCTAATAACCTCTGTCACATTGCCCTTTGTTGTTCCAAATTCATCTTCTTGAGAGCAAACTTACAAGATCACCATCTATAGAGGACAGTTTAAGGAACTGAACTGTGCCTCAATTTTAGAAACCTCCATAGAGGTTTCTAAAATTGTTCAGATTCATGATGGCGGTTTGGTGTCAAACGAGTTCCAGATTATTAGACAGGAATCTCAAGTTTCCAACAGATTTCATCCCGTCAATATTCCTCAGACAAAACAAAAGAATCAGCCGAAGAAAAGATGTGCGTAAATAAAAAAAAAATAACGACACAATTTCAAGGCGTAAAGATATTTAGTTTTATTCCCAACTATGCTTCTGTTCTTAATTGACACAATTTCAAACCGAACTTTAGCTTTTGACCGTAGAATGATTTGTTTGTAATATACAAGCATGTTTAATATCAGTAAACTGTAAAAGTTGCATAGTTTAATGAAGGTTGTTGAAAGAGGTTGTATTTCCTTTTTTTATATTAATTTTTTTACCAGTACGTCACATATCTGTGTTTATACTTGACATTTGTCAAGTATAAACTAAAAAACTAAAAAACAGGAAATAGAAAGTGATTCATCTGTTTCCCCCTTGACTTTTTTTTTTTTTTGTCTCTCTAATCTGCGGCCCAATAAGAAAAAGATGTCAAGTCATATACATTTTTAAAAAAAGGTTATGAGAAAGATATGAGAAGATTTCCAGAAAATGACACCAGCAGAGAGTCTCACAGGAAGAGGAAGAGATGCAATAGCTCGACCTCAAAAGACTTTTTTTTTCATACAATATTTTGCTGGTTCTGCTTCGATGAGGAGAGTTCTTGTTGCTGAAAATGTTTTTAGTTAACTATTTTTTAAAAATGTTTTTGCGGTCAAAAACGCAAACTTTAATTGTATCAGGATTAAAGAGTCAAAATCTGAAAAGTGCAGCATGCTTTTAAACATTTTTATTAAGCTCCCTTTAGCCCTTAGCACAACATTGAATTCTGGGAAATCTGTAATGTGTGAAATATTTAAATCAAATATAAACTTAAAGAACATTCATGTATTAGAAAGGCACAGTCAAAGTAAAGGAGGAAGTGGCATGAGCACAAATACGCACCACACCTTTCAGACTTTAGTTTGCTTGTTAATTAATTTTTTTATTCCATTTCTTCCCACAGGATGAAGTCAATGGGACTCACTGGGGTTTAGTTTCCCTGAGGGGGAATTTAAAGACACAAACAGGGGGGAAGTTTTGTGAAGTTGGGTGGCCGCTAAAGTTTCTCCTTGGGGATGTAAACAAAACCCACAAACTGTGAAGAGAAACGCATAACTGAGCTAAAAAAAACCCAAAAAACAAGAAGTATATCGAGCCTCAAGTAGAAATGTGGTCAAAGTTGAGCTGGTTAGTTATTTAAGAAAGTGTTGGGAGTCTGAGTTAAGTAGCTTAATGACCAGAGTAGCAAAGAAAAAAACAAACAAGCAACAAAAAACCCCTGTCTGTATCCCTGAGGTCTCAATAAAACCTGGGAGAAAACGTCTGGTTCTGTGAGGTGTGTGTGCGGGGAGGAAAAAGAAACAAAAAAAAAAAAAAAAAACGGTTGCGGCGCATTGGAGCAACTATTTCCCATTACCGCGTGGATTCAGTTCTTTGGAGTTCAGGCGGATCAAGAGGTTCCATGAAAACAATATCTCAAAGCGGGGAGCATCAAGAGGAGGAATGCCTCGCAAATAAACAGCCAGGATGAAGGCTGGGCTTTCTTTCTGAAGCTCTTCAGAGATTCTAACTGCGCTGCTCGCAACGCGTCAGCGGCCACAAAGTCGAGCACCTTTGGATGTGTTTGTTTTTTCCCCTGCAGGTATCTCAAAAAGTCACGAGACGGGAAGAAAACCTCTAAAGTAATGAATCGATCATATGACGGTTTAACGTCCGATTGGTTTCAGCTTCTGTTCATCGGGGCAGAGATAACAAAATAAGAGGGTCAAGGAAAGGTTAATCCTGAGGCTTCGGTCACAGTGTTATCTAACAGAGCAGTAATATACTGGTTTCTTCTTCTTCTACTACTTCTTCTTCCTGGCAGGATCTTAAAAAAGGATCATGTCAAGAAGCTGCCGCCTTTAATATTTCAGCTCAGATTATCAAGGTTTTACCAAGGATAACATGTTGCAGCGATTCACTGCTCTCACGAGATGAAGACGGTACACCAAATTTGGTTTATAAGAACAGGATGGGATATGTACGGGAAAAATCCGATTCTTGTTTTCTCTATTTCTTTCTGGGAATTCATCCCAAAGGATGATGATGACGATGCTGATGACGGAAATCTGGGGTCAAGCAAAAAAAAAAACTTGTTCTAAAGAAGAAAAGTGATTCAGCCTACACTGCAAAAACACAAAATGCTACCAAGTACATTTGGTCTCGTTTCTGGTGAAAATATCTTAATACATCGGAAATAAGACAAAACCTGACTGACAAGTAGATTTTCTAAAAGATATGGGAGCTTGTTAGTGACAACAAAGTTCCAGATCCACTGCCAGATTATTTGGCTTATAACCAGTACTTTTTCCATCAGTTTCAAGCTAATGGTTGGATGCTTAAGAAGCTACTCCGCTGTCCTCCTCCTACCTTTGGGAATGTTGATCTTACACTCCAGGTCTCTCTCCTCCAGATGGTACAGCGCCACCTCCTGCAGCCGGGCGCGCTCCAGCTCCGACAGGCTCTGGATGGGCACCGGCTGCAGACGCACGCTCTGTCCCAACATGGTCGCCCAGGTGTGGTCCCCCTGCAAGCAGAAAAGAGACGGTCTGCAATCTCGGCAAAAATGGGTCCGGACACTTTGTGTCGTTCATCACAGAGTCTGTTTTTTTTTTTTTTTCTATCTTGAAAAGTTCGATGAATCAAATTCTTCAGAGAAGATGATCAAACAACCATCAAACACTTAGTTTGATGCCTCAAAACGTCCGCAACACAAAAAGCAAGAGTTTTCTAGCGATGGCCTTCAAGTCAAGAGCTTCTATTCTGGTGGAAGATATGGAGTTGTTGCCCTGCTAATTGTGTTTACAGATATTATTCACTGGTTTATTTTTATCTGAGCCATTCTTTGCAAAATACCATTTTGATACTCTTTGTCTGTTGACCTTGAGGTCTTTGGTTTTATTTCTCTCATCAGACAAAGCTTCAGCCAACACACTGGCGATACATTTTAGAACAAAGCATCAATGTCTGTCAAATCTCTGCTTTTAGAAAACAGACTAAATGTAAACATAGACTGGAAAGTCTTGAGAAAGTTGTAATATTTTTACCAGTAACTTTAAAAAAAAAAAAAAAAAAGGTTGTCATATCAAGATTAATGATTAGCCAACTTTTCCTAATAGGTTAAAAGGTCCTTTCATTGAGAAGCCAGAGTGATAAGAGTCAGAAATCCACTTTTTCGGCCAGTACAGATTTTCCCCTCCCCCACTTGTTACTGGGAAGGCTGAAAGACGACATCAACACTTTTTTCTTACATGCAAGAAACACAAAGTCGACTCTTTGGACGAACATGCATCAAAATGAAAAGGAACACCAATTACAGTTGGCGAGCTAAATATCACGATAAACAACAATATTGTTATTTTGAGATAACTTTCATAGAATATATTAATAATATCATAATAAAAGACCAACAAACTTCAGTTTAGTAAAGAACACTCAGCTGTAGAGGAACTGAAAGACATTTTAAATATCCAAACATAAAACAATCAAAACCAATAATAAAAAAATTAAAAACACACACACACAACCAAAACCATAAATAAAATAGATTATGATTTCCCTGTAAACAGAATGGAACATATCGGGCTCAAATAATTTCCCTTTTCTCCAACAGTAGAGCTTGTAAATGTTGCTTTGTGGATCCCGTCTCGTCTTATCGAGCCTATGGGGCATTTGACTCAGATCAGCTGTCTGTCCCTCAGCCGCAGGGGGAAAAATAAACTGTATATAAAATCCTTATAAGGCGGTCAAACAGCGTCCAACTTTAAACCGTTAACACAAACTCGTAAAATGCATTATGTAAAACATGCAGCGCCATCAGACGTCTTCTGTATACATTCATATTACTGGGTGTCCTTACAGGCACACAAACACAATCAAGTCTCGCTTAAATATCCATGTGGTCCGGGGAATGAAAGTATAAAAATGTGGCAACACTCTGACAGAGGTTTCACTCTAAATAAAAAGGAAAGTGGAACTTTAATAGTGTTAGCCCAGTTTCATAGCAATTTAGGTCTAAATGTGTTTACGTTCAGCATGGGCCGTTTTATACAGCTGCAGCCGTCGGACACCGTTCAGGAAATAAGATGGGTTTTGTGTCCGAAGGTCGTATGAAGATGTGCGTTTTTAGGTGTGAAATACTTGAATTAGCCTGGAAACAAAAGTAAAAATGCATTGTGAGGGAGCAGAGTGAAAGAAAGAAAAGCCGTGATGTGACATAAAAGGCCAAACTTCAGTTTTACAAATGCACTCAGGTATTTAGGAGAAATGTCCAGAGGTCTAGTGAGAGTCGAAATCAAATGTTATACAGTTTGTTGCATTCTGAGGGAGCGGTGCGCCTCACAAAATAGACGAGGAGCAAAATATTATGTGGAAATGTTGATGCAACAGCTCAAGACATCAGCCAAAAAGTTAAAGTTTTGATGGAAAAAGGTATATTGGAGAAAAAATGAACATATGTGCACCATAAAAAAGGACACAACAGGGATTAAGCAGTGCAAAGATCAATGATTTGGAATGGTCAAAAATTTCAGCAAACTATATATACTCTGAGAAGTTTGTGGGAGGAAACCTAAAATGTTTGACCCAGTCGTGTTGGCAAACTTGGTAATTTTGTAAGAGAGACTCGTTCTGGAATGTAGCAAATAAAAACAATAAAACGGCAAACATTTAGTCTGATCTGTCTTATCTGAATAAATAAGCTAGTAATCTAAACTGGCTTATTCCAGTTTAAATTACTGGTATTTTAAACTGGAATCATGTCGCTTAAAAAAAAAATCTTGTGAACCAGAGGAGGTGATTTTGAATCGAGCCGGGTGAACGTAAAGTGTTTGCTGGACAGATTGGTGAGTCGAAGGTCAACCACAGCCAGACGTAACTCATGAAATGTCAAACCCTGTCAGACAAAAATGCAAATATGTCTGAAGTGTGACAGCAGGCGAGAAGGGATTCTTTCCTCCAACTGCTGGGCTCTGAGGAGTAGCTGAGGAATTTTGTGCAAAATGTAAATGAGACATCTGTATCAGGAACACCGTGTCTACTAAAACATTCAGAGTTTTGGTGTGAAACAAACAAACTCTTTCAAGCTAAAACGCAAACCTCTTTGAAGAGCTGAATCGATGTCACGGCGCCTTCTTTTTGATTTAATTTGTTACAGTTTATGGAGTAACTCCGATCTCCGCTGTGGTTCATCACTGTGTGCACGTTTATGAAAACACATACAACAGTATATCACACTTAAAGCAGAAATGTAAGATATTTAAGATTTATAAAAATATTGAAATATAAATTGCTTCACACGTGGCTATATTTGATGTATAATGAAAAATTTAATGTTTCAATAGTTGATTTGTTTGGTGTTTTTATGATGTAACCCTTTGAATTACATTGTTGGTGAAATCTGCTATTGAAACAAACTTGACTGACTGATATTTACGGTTGATGTGTTAAGAACATCGATTTACTATTTATCTTGCTTTTACTCATCACAGCGGTATGAACAAAAAGATCTGGTTTTGTAGAAGTTTAATTTGAATAAAAGAAGATGCATAATGTTTTGTAACGTCGCTAAAAGTCATTACGTTAAAGCTTTACGTTAAAGCTTTACGTATTTTCTCGTTTTCTTGTTTTTACTGTAAAGGTCAATAACATCCCATTCCAGGTCTGCAGTTGCCCAGTTATACTTTGTCCGCCTTCATGATGACAACATACCAGCAAAACAGAGGGACAATAGGTTAAGACCACATAATAAACAAAACACTACTGCACATTTCTTACTGATTCCATTCGTAGCCAGTTTTCAGATTTAAGTTTTCATTCTTCCCGACCTTTCCTTATACCTCGTCTAGATATGGGCTGCTGTCAATAGCAGGAAGTAGGAAACAAGACAATTCACGCCACATGACAGCCAACCCACACAGGAAGACGGAGCAATGGAGTATTTTGTGCCAGACTTGCAAGATATTTTTCCACATGTGAACCAAAAACAATCTGGAGCAGGATAAAAACATCAAGTACGAGAAAGAGGTTTTTTTTCTTTACTTTTTTCTTTTTACATATTTGGACTAAATAAGAGAGTTGTTTTGTTTTTTTGCTAATTTGCATCAAAAGCATGTTCAAAAAATTGTTTAAATCTGCAAAACATTTGTACTGACAGAATGAATAATCGCTACAGAGATGACATGTGGTTATTTATAAAAGCAGCAAAAAAAAAAAAATTATAATAATAATGAATGTATGCAAACTCCAGCTTGTTGCTGTGCCTGCCTCAGGATGAGGCGACGGTGTTACATAAACACTCTCTAACAGCTAGCAGGTGCTTCTCACTCCTCTCCTCCACATGTGGGATCAAACATGTTGACATCTCCCCTCCAGGCATCCATGTTTCTACGTGTTTCTACATGTTTCTCTTCGTCTTCGTTTTGTGATGTTCCTCATTGGCCGCAGCCTTTCGTCGTGACCTCACCAGTCGACCCCAAAACCAAATGAGACCGAATGCCAACCCATGTTAGCCTCGTTAGTGCTAGATAATTTATTTATTAATTTATTTTTCATTTGCGTTTCAGTGATGTGAAATGACCTGATAAAGGTGAGTGTTTAAAAAAGTGTTGAATGTCATAAAATAACCAGTTTTTTGCTTGTGAGATTAATATTCGCTAAATCTCCATCCTGTCTTATAGAGAAACTTGGTAAAAAAATGATAAGTAAAATGAACAAGCTTTTAAAAAAAGTGATGAGAGAGATAACTAACTCTAAACACTAAAGTAAGTAAATCTTGATATTTAGGACCAGAAATGTTAAAATTTCAGAGCTTTGGTACCTGGAGAAGGCAGAATGTAGATGAGGACACTGGTGTATATTTGTGGCACTTTAAAACTTTTTTTATTTGAGATTTTTTTACATTTTTATTTTCTGTAAAAATATATTTGCACTTGTTTCAGAAATAAACATTCTGCCTTTGCTTTAACTTAACAGCGAATATTTTATTTCACTGGTCAGCATTCACCAATATGCTGATGACGCACTTCTCTGCCTAAAATGTTCCTACAAACTGGCAATCTAAAAAAGCATGTTGATATGAAATAGTTAAAGCTTTTGAGGATCGAAACAATTTATTTTGGGGATGTACCAAAATAAAAGGTAATCAATACTCATAATTATGGCTAGGAAGTGAAAAATAATAAGACAGATATGACGTGAATGATGTAAATATTACACAAAGCCTTCAAACTGAACACACAGTTAAAAATTAGGATAGAATTTCAAATTCAAAAATACTTTATTGATTCCAAAAGGAAATTAAGTGATTTTATAACACATTAATTCAAAAAGAATAATAAATGGAAACTAAAAACTCAGATGTTATCTTAACGATTCCTTAGGTTTTCTCTTTCATCAGGGGTGATCAGAGGCCCGTCATTTAATAATCTGTTCAAGATTTCACCCACCTCAACAGAGGAACAAAACACACTGTGACATCAAGCAGATTTTATTTCTTCATTTCAGTCTTTCTGCTGATACAATTTGACA